GAGAAGTACTACCCATCGCGTGTAACGCCTTGTATTATATATGGGTCAGATTCAGAATTTTTCAAATAAACCTGCGGGCGAGGTTCACGGATTTTCCTGAAATTTTGGTATGTTATAGTACATGATAAAAAAGTGCCAAAACCAAAATTTTGGACCCCCTCCCCCCTCCTACCCCCCTCCTCCCCTATAGACGTCCACTTTCTATCTACATTTTTTCTGAAGGCCTGAAGTTATTAAAAAATCTGAAAAAATTCATGAAGGTACTTTTCAACAATCCAAACAATCTTGAATTTTTTCAAATTTCTTGAGTGCTTCAGGCCTTCAGAAAAAATCATTGAAAATTTAAATTATTTTATTTTCGGTGAAATGGTTCGATATACCAGACCGGAGTATTTTTTTCTGAATTCTGACGTCAAAAAACGATTCCTTGAATTTTTTCAGAATTTTTCATTCATGTCCATTCAGCCTAGAGCTGAAAAACCGCTTTTTTTCACGAAAATAATTTTTTTAAGGCGCTACGGAGCCTCAAAAAATCTGGAAAAATTTTTTTCTCATTTTGTTCATCAAAATACATAATCTCAAATTTTTTCAGATTTTTTAATTGAAGGCGATAGCGTCTGGAGCCGAAAAACGTTATTTTTAACAAAAAAGGTTCCTGGAACCCGATGGTTCCGGTAAAAAAATTTGAAAAAATTTTTTTTGAATTCCTTGTCAAATTTTAATAAATTTTGACCGTCGCAAAATTTCGATTGGAGCTTCCTAGCTCATTCTAGAGCATAACAAAGATTAATGCGAAATTCTGAAGACATTCATCATATTTAAATTTTTTTCAGATGTCTTCAGAATTTCGCATTAATCTTTGTTATGCTCTAGAATGAGCTAGGAAGCTCCAATCGAAATTTTGCGACGGTCAAAATTTATTAAAATTTGACAAGGAATTCAAAAAAAATTTTTTCAAATTTTTTTACCGGAACCATCGGGTTCCAGGAACCTTTTTTGTTAAAAATAACGTTTTTCGGCTCCAGACGCTATCGCCTTCAATTAAAAAATCTGAAAAAATTTGAGATTATGTATTTTGATGAACAAAATGAGAAAAAAATTTTTCCAGATTTTTTGAGGCTCCGTAGCGCCTTAAAAAAATTATTTTCGTGAAAAAAAGCGGTTTTTCAGCTCTAGGCTGAATGGACATGAATGAAAAATTCTGAAAAAATTCAAGGAATCGTTTTTTGACGTCAGAATTCAGAAAAAAATACTCCGGTCTGGTATATCGAACCATTTTACCGAAAATAAAATAATTTAAATTTTCAATGATTTTTTCTGAAGGCCTGAAGCACTCAAGAAATTTGAAAAAATTCAAGATTGTTTGGATTGTTGAAAAGTACCTTCATGAATTTTTTTAGATTTTTTAATAACTTCAGGCCTTTAGAAAAAATGTAGATAGAAAGTGGACGTCTATAGGGGAGGAGGGGGGTAGGAGGGGGGAGGGGGTCCAAAATTTTGGTTTTGGCACTTTTTTATCATGTACTATAACATACCAAAATTTCAGGAAAATCCGCGAACCTCGCCCGCAGGTTTATTTGAAAAATTCTGAATCTGACCCATATATACTCTTGCTTACATATATCCAAGCGTGTCGTCGAGTCGTCGCTCCTTACGCCGCTTCTCCTGTCACTATACAAGCTTCTTTGTTCTGCCCAGGTTTATCAGCTTAATTCCGTTAATGGGGGTGTAAAGGGAGACTTACAACATACTACTTCGGCCTCGTTTGAATATCTTAATCCCAGAGTGGTGATACTTCTCGCGACGCGCGTTACACGCTTATGCCTACAAGTACGCGTGCGTGCACAGTCGAGAGGGTAGATGAGTAGAAAATCGATCCGATCTCGCCTAATATAACACGAAAAAAAAAGCTTACATCGGCGCGTCGACGGAAAATGTGCGTGAACGCGGGTATGCGCGAGAGCCAGCCTTGGAAACGAATTACTTTTCGATTCGGACTCTCGTCTGTGCGTCCGATAACGAGAAAAAAAATCGATCATATAATATACGGTTTTGCTATTGGCATCGCACAGAGACGGCAATGGGAATAATCGATTGTGACGAGTTCCAAAGGCAGACCAACTCGCCTATATTGGCCGGATCGCATAATGCGCGCACGCTTATAATATATAACACGTTTCGACTGAATAAATGTTTTGCAAGATGGGTATATATAGTATGGTTTCGATTAGCTTTACTCCGACTTTCCGAGGCGGAGCAGTCTCAGCTCTCACGCACGCACACACACACACACATGATGATTGTGCTTCAAAAATAGCTTTTTACAGCTCCGAGCTCGAGCCATCGTACAATTCCTTCGACGTGCTGCTGCCGCTGCTTACAACTTGGGCGCACTTTTTGTCGTGCGCATTATTATCGTATTCATTTTGTTTACGCGTTTTGTTGTTGTTTGTTTTTACTCGTTTGATATACTCGTATACAGCAAAGCGACTAATTTATGCGACTTGCGCGCGCGCGTGACTGACGTGGACGAGTTATAGTACATTATATTTCGCCGAAACAGGATTTTATTTTCTCTCTCTCTCTTCGCGTCGGTTGCTCGACGAAATTCAGTTATAAGCAAATGACATTATAAAAATGAAAAATGCGCCATGCAGCGACTATACATGGGGGATGAAAAAAAGACCATATTTATATCATACTCGTATACATGGAGTACATTCGTCGCAAACGGGATATTTCATGGTAACTAGCGCGTGCACATGCGTGCGCCACGCGGCGTATCTTTCTGCGTTACGCTTTGTTTCAATCAACGTGCTACATACATATACGAATATGCGTGCTCGATGTTATTACACATACACATACACAGAGGCAAGCGCAGCGCAAGAGGCAAGTCGTATTATATAGGCTAGCAAGGCATTCCTTTGGAAACGAGGCGTACCTATAAATGGATGTAAAAGCTCCATAGGGCCTGTAAGTTTTATACTCCCGGTATATACATATAATATTATGCAAAGCGCTGTGCGCGTGGTAAATTTCTTCTCTCTCCATCTCGGTTATGCTCTTTCCACCTGACTATATATTATCTGCGTTCAACTTTGCTGCGGCACAGGATTCCGCGTCGCGTCTTTGTGAGCGCTGGGCTAGCTTTATATTTCCCTCGTATATATTGTTATATGGTTCACAGAGTCACCGCGAAGATATGTACACGGGACAATTTGGGCAGCCCTTCCGAGACAAATCGATAAATTTTCGTATACTCCAAAATTGTATACTTACTTGCGGAAATTCATTTTCGAGTTTATAACTCGTTATAATTACGTTGCGGAGCTCGTTTAACGATTGCAACCACCGCAAGGATACGCGTTCTTTTTTCTTTTTTAGCTCGTTCCAATATATAACCTTTGCGTGCGTGTATGCGGCCAAAGTTTCATTTTCTTTTACGATGCTGAAAACAAAAAATAAAAATACGAAGAAGGGAGAGAAATTTTTCTTCGACGTTGGTACTTTTTATGGCAATCTAGACCCGAGGAGGGAGAGAGAGAGGAAAGCGAGTGAGCAGAGCAGAGACGACGATTTATTTTGCCCTTATTTATGGACCCGACGAAAAAAAAATGAGGAAGTGAACATCCAGCGTGTGAGGGTGGTCGAGAGCTCATACGCTTATACGTATACCGGAGGTGCACATTTGTAAAATGTATAGCATTTTGCGCTTCATAATTTATGTATGAAAATATCAGGTCTGGTCAGCTGCGACTACTACTGCTGCTGCTGCTGCTGCTGCTAATAAACAAAAGTATGCTCCGTACGCGCGTAGCTTTATAATTCAGAGACAAAATTACACGTTTTTCGCATGTATACGTATGTATATATGGGCAAACAACTGCGTTATTTATTCAATTGGAAATGGCGCGTTTGCCACCCACGATTGCCCCGCGCGTGTCTATCTGCGCCTCTGTATACGAAAAAAGAATTCAAAGCGAGAGGCGGTGCACAGAGAGAGAGAGAGAGAGAGAGAAGCTCATAGGATGTATCTTTTAAAAATTTCATCGTCGCCTTATCAAACTTGTGTCGCATAGTTGAGAAAAAGCGAAAGAGCAAAAGAGAGAGAGAGAGAGAGAGAAAGAGAGAGAGAGAGAGAGAAAGAGAGAGAGAGAGAGAGAGCAAGCGAAAGAGGATAAGGGCTGCTTCGGGCAATTTGCTTTGGCGCTCGGCTATGCTCGCTCGCCCGCTTGCTCGTTCGGCGCGCATATCCTTTGCAATTTTTATTTTATTGACGCCTCGGCGCAAAAACTAACTTTGGCTCGGTATCAAAGTTCCATAGGAAAGATTAGACTACTGCTAGTGGTAGTAGTAGTAGTAGTGAAGAAGGGTGGGGGGGGGGGGNGGGGGCAAGCACCATACACAAAATAATCCAACGTCTTTTGATAGTCACTAAAAGTTTCCGAGTGTATATCGCGACGGCGGCAGCAGTCGCTGCTACCGCCGCCTCGGTAGATTCTTTTTATCCGCTCCAGAGATTGGTTCGTCTTTTGCTATACAGCTCGGTGCAAGTCACTTTCGTGTGTTTTAGGGTATATACCTAGACGCGAGTTTATGCTTGTACGGAGGCAAAAATGTTATTACGGTTGACGTAGCTTTCTTTTTCTTACGTTCTCTCTCTCTCGAGCGGTAGTTACAGCGGTGTAGTACAACTGTAGCAGCAGTGAGCAGTAGTAGTTGCTGCTACGGAGATTTGTATCCGCCGCTCGGGCTGCTGACTGCCGCCGCTCTGCCTGCCGCTGACAGGCTGTTTATTATTTCAAGGATGCCTTTGATGAAGCTGCTGCAGCGCAGCGGCAGCGGCTCTATACACATACAACTCCGTATGTATACAGCTCGACAGTCGAAATTTTCATTTGCTCGAAAAATACAGTGTAGCGCGATTTTATATATCACGTGTAAAAGCGCCACAAACAGCGAATATAATCCGATATCTGTTTTATTTCGTTTTACAGGTGAACGGCCAGGACGTGTCGAATTCTAGTCACGAGGACGCAGTGAGGTGCTTCGAGTCGGCCCAGGAGCCGATACTCGTGGAGGTGCTGCGACGACAACAGTCCTCCTCATCCACCTCCCACACAACGACGCCGACGACGACGACGGTGTTGGCTCAACACAACGGCAACGGCAACAACAACATTAGCGGCAGCAGTCCCTCGACCTCGTCGCAGTCGTCCAGCCCCCACGACGAGGGCAACGCCAGCTGCGGTAACAATTCGAGTTCGCCGGCTCAACAGCAGCAGCAGCAGACTCAACAGATGGACGAAAACAGCCGAGAAAATGCCTTTACACTGCTCGTGTCGACGGCTGTGCAGACCGACTGGGCCGGTCTGGTGGACGACGACGAGGACGACGACGAGTTCGGCGTGACGCTCAGGCCGCACGACGCCGACGAGCAGACCAACGACAGCCTCGACGATATACTCGCCCACGACATCGACTTCGAGGTGAGAAAAAAATTTTTTTTTTTTTTTACAGCTCGTTATACTTTTGCGAGATTCGTTTGTACGCGTATTATACTTATTAAAGCTTTTTTACTTTAAGCTCTGTACTTTGCTCGGCTCTCTCTCTTTCCACGCGCTACTTATTCGTGCATTGAGCTCGGGCATCTAATTTTTTTCTCCCTCTCCCTCTTGGCCCTTTTCTCTTATATATCTTTCAAAGCAGTCTTTGAAAATTCCCAATGCGAAAAAAATCCGGCCGGCTTCTAAAAGATTGAATCGTATCAAAGCACTTACACGCGTGCGCACGCTGTACGTAAGGATTAGAGCTTTCGCGTACCTTCAACGCGCGTACATTCAATACGTCTTTAATTATTATTTTGCTTACTCCGTGAGAAAGCTTTGTCGATAGGCTCGTAAACGAGTTTTTGAGCCGACTTTTTCAGCCAAGTGTCGTAGAATAATTTTGCTTACATGTTTGTAAATTAGATTGAATTTAGTAATGTGGATGAAAACTAAAAATGTTATTTTCTGATTAATATTAACGAAAAAATTCTTTGGGTTTTTCGTATGGTTGAAGGGAGGAGTATAATTTTTCCGCAGTGACTACCAAAGAAGAGCAGTTTAATTTTAATTTAAGATACAAACCGTGAAAATCCGTTGATTATTTTGAAAGTTACATCCTGAAAATTAAAAATGTTTTTTTTTCTTATTTTTCGAAAAATTCTGTTTTTGCATAGCATTAGGAGAGTAATTATTTTTTTGAATTTTCGTAGCCACTAGTAGTAACCTTCTTTGTTTTCCTCCAGGCAAGTGACCGGTAGTGACGACTGTAAAAACGACCTATATGAATAAAAAGGTTAGGTTTTGTTGGATGTTTTTAATTAACGTTCTGAAACTGAAGTAAGATTTTTCTATAATTCCGACTCTATTGTCAGGCTCAAGTAATTTTTTTGGAATATTTGTTTATCATATTTATCATTGCCATTTCAATGTAGTTTTAATGACACGCGAGTACATTTATGTACCCCAGTAAATTATGACGAACAACAACAGTCGACTGTAGAGGGGGCATATAGCATCACGGAGCTATCACAATCACGGGTTCACCTCATAGTTCAGTGAAAACTTACATGAAATTGCATTTTTTTGGGGAGAGATGAAACATAGTCTACTTCGTGTTTTTGGGTGCGCTGAATTCATTGCCGATGTTATTTTTTACCTACAACATCAGCGTCAGGTTGAAAATCGAGGGTGAAAGAGTTTTTCGCTGATATCTCGCGAACGAAGCAAGATACAGAAAAACTAATTGCACCAATCGATTCCTCGTGAAATTTTACATCGAATTACACTTTAAACTTTTCAAGTGTCGGTGCAAAATTGTTCACAATATTGAATAATTAGTTTACAGCGGTCGGCGGTAGTGGGGGCCGACAGCGAAGGGGAAGCGACATATCGCGGCGCCGCCGGACTAGTACTACTCATCATTGCAGGAGTAGTGTGTTCAATCACTCTATTAGCGAAATTCCTGCAGTAAGCAAGTGTTTACAAATTGATGAATTCGAGGTACAGAGTTGTTGACTACTTGAGGCGCATAACCTCGAATATTTTTTCCCTTTACTTTGTGAAAACTCCCAGTAATTGTATTTAATTAAGTGAGTGATGGAAAGCAACGGGAGTATAGTTAGGTACGACCTTTTTTATCCTGTTCATGATGTTTTTGAGCCATATCGTTTGATCTAAATTTCTTATTCTCTAGGATTAAGGTAGAACCTAATGATGATTGGTCAGAAGCAGGTGGAGGCTATAATTCCAATTCCGCAAAGTCTTGCGATGCCAAAAACTTTAAAACATTTTCGTTACGTAGACCTTCAGTGAGTTCAATGATTTTAATTAGGTTCTAATTTTTCACTATCCAAAATTATAACACGATTTCAACTTTAGGCAAATGACATGAATGAGGCTTTTGTATCATCAGAAGAATTAGAAGAAAAAATTTACATCGATTTGGAATGCAAAAATGTTAAACCTGAAGTGCTATCTACAAGTGTCTGCAAGTCTGAGTATCAAAATTGCAACTCTTTTGTGAAAAAAGAAGACGGATATCAGGCAAATCACAATAATGATCAAAAGCTAATAATTTTAATAAAAAAAAATTTGATTACGACTATAACTGTCGATTTCAAGAAAAATCTCAATGCAAGACCAACGTATCCGAGAAGGTGAAAATATTGGAAAAAATGGTTCATAAGTACAGTCTGTATCGACAAACACATAAAAAAAAAGTAATAGAGAGTACCCTCACGAAGCACATAAATTCAGAACATAATCGTAGCAAACCTTTTGAATGTGATATTTGCCAAAAATCATTTGGACGAACAAATAATCTTAAAAGGCACATAATTACAGTATATGATCATATCAAACCCTTTGAATGTGAAATTTGCCACAAATCATTTGGATTCAATGGTGATCTCAAAAAACACATAATAGAAGTACATGATGATACAAAGCCTTTTGAGTGCGAAATTTGCCACAAATCATTTGGACAAAAAAGTCACCTTGAAAGTCACGTTAATACAGTACATAATCGGATCAAACCCTTTGAATGTGCAATTTGTCACAAATCATTTGGATTTAAACAGAACTTCAAAACTCACATTGATACAGTACATGATCATATCAAACGTTTCGAATGTGAAATTTGCCACAAATCATTTGGAGAAAAAGGTGCTCTTAAAGTTCACATAAATACAGTGCATCATCGGAGCAAACCATTCGAGTGTGATATTTGCCACCAATCATTTGGATTTGAACAGAGCCTCAAAACTCACATTGATACAGTACACAACCGTAACAAACCCTTCGAGTGCGAAATTGGCCACAAATCATTGGGACTAAAATCTAATATAAAACGTCACGTGGACGAAGTGCATATGCGTAACAATTCCTTTAAAAGTGATATTTGTCGCAAGTCATTTTTTTCCAAGGACAACCTCAAAACTCACATAAACGGAGTACATAATTGATACAAACCCTTTGTATGTGAAATTTGTCATAAATCATTTATTTATAAACATCTCCTCAAACGTCACATGAATTCGGTATATGATCGTAGCAAATCTTTTGAATGAGAGATGTGTCTCGTGTCGTTTTTTTATAAGAAGTATCTAAAAATCCATATTACGGCGGTACATAATCGGAGTAAATCTTTCGAATATAATGTTTGTCACAAGTAATATAGCCGCAAGGATAACTTCAAAACCCTCGTAAGTTCAGTACATAATCGTTAAAGTGCGTGAGACTATTTTCAAGACGTTTGGATGCAATGGAGGCTTCGGCAATTACATTAGTACACTACATAATTTCAGACATTTTTTAATATTAATATACTTTCATTCTTGCGAAAAACAATAAAGTATTTAAACTCTTATTAATTTTTTCGTGATTGTGTAAAACCTTCTACTCTCCTGTCTTTTATAATAAGTACAGTTGGAAATGAACGGGCACAAACCGTATTCAATCATCATGATTGAATCATGTTGTGAAGAATTCAAAAACGTCCTTAATGTATTCCGTTTAGCTAAATCCATCGAGTAATTACAACGCTAATCAAGACTTGACTTAAAAAAAAAGAGTTATCTAAACAATATTTTCCAAGTATCTATTTCTTATTGGTATGTTAGTAGAAAACCCCTATCTTTAAAATAATGAAAAAAAAACGAAAAAGCAAGTTAACCCCTACAAATGATTTCTATACACGCAGAAAATTCGACAGCATCAAGAGTCGATAAAAAAGCTCGGTAAGTGGTAATAATTCAATCTATCCAAGCAAAGCGTATAGTGTATTTAATGATCGAAAGACATTCTTTCACAATAATCGCTCAACTCCGACTAAGTACGTTAATAGGTCCGTAAATTCTTAGATATGTATGCGGCCGAATCTCTGTGAAATCAAACGTCAAATAAATCTTTTGTCTTGCATGTCATACATGTGTCCAAATTTAATCAAAATTTTCGGATAATCCATCACTCTTTTCTCAGAAGTCCGCAGTAGTTTTCTAAAATACATTCGTAAAAAAGTAATGACTTGATCGTGTCCTAAAATAAAAGGGTGTGTGATTATTCGTTAGAATTGATGGCGCCAACATTATGTAGAACGCAAATTTTGAAATTCATAACAATGTTATATCCTTTGAGTCTCACGCAGTGGATTAATATCTTACGCATAAGAAGCGCGTTGAAAGATGGTTATGCTATAAATTGGTTTATCAGTAAATTTTTTATGATTTTTAATTGTAAGAAAGTTAAAATTGCGTGACACGCATTCAATAGGTGAAGATAAATTTAGAAGATTATGTATACAAATGATTTGTGTCAAATATTATACTCAAAAGGCTTTGTAAGATCATATATTGTTATTATGTGTATTTTAAGGTTACAGTTTTGTCCAAATGATTTGTGACAAATATCACATTTAAAGGGTTTACTACGATCATGTACTGCTATTATGTGTTTTTTGAGATCACTCTTGTATCCAAATGATTTGTGACAAATCTCACATTCAAAGATTTTGCTACGATCATGTACAGCCAATATATGAGTTTTAAGATGACTTTGGTATCCAAATGATTTGTGACAAATTTCACACTCGAAGGGTTTGATCCGATCATGTACTGCATTTATGTGTCTTTTGAGATAACCTTTTATTCCGAATGATTTGTAACAAGTATGACACTCAAAAGGCTTTGTATCATCATGTACTGCTATTATGTGTATTTTGAGGTTCTGTTTTGGTCCAAATGATTTGTGACAAATATCACATTCAAAGGGTTTGCTACGATCATGTGCTAAACGTATATGCTTATTGAGATTACCTTTTTGTCCAAATAATTTTTGACAAATTTTACATTCGAAGGGTTTCTTATGATCGTGTATTGAACTTACGTGAGTTTTCAGGCTAACCTTGCTTGAAAAGGATTTGTGACAAATTTCGCATTCATTTAGTTTAATGCTCTTGTGTGTTGTATTGATATGTCTTTTTATACTTATTTCTCCTTTGTAAATTATTTTATAACAATTAAGTTTATGAGACAATATGGTTTTTGTTTTTTCATTAAATATTTTCACTTTCTTGGGTTCACCTAACTTCAATTGGGATTTTTCTGGAAGTGGATAGTTATCGTCATAATCGAATTCTTCTTTTATCAAAATTATCGGATCCTTATGGTTCAAGTACTTTGTCTGAACTTGGTTATTTATTCCTTCAACTGGTGGATAATGTATATTCTCAGATTTGCAAATGTTTTTCGATAGAGACGTCGATTCAGATTTAACATCTTTGCACTCGAATTCTATGGATACTTTTTCATCTAATTTATTATCTTGATTAATGTGATCAGCCTAAAATTAAAATTGCATAATAATATTTAGATAGTGATATAACAGAACATCATTTGAATCAAAGGACTCACTGATGATTCATAAAATGGCGATGTTTCAACATTTTTAACTTTGTATGAGTTGATCGGGTCGAAAACAAAATCATCGCCTATACCCTACAGGATATCATTTGGCTCTTGCTTCACACTGGAGAATAATCAAGTTTAATGAAGCAATTGCGACAAAAATATCATAGTATGCACAAAAATAGCTATACCTAACTGTTTCCCCAATGCTCATCATTTGCTTTGTATGTGAATTCACTTTGAATTTTCACTCTATACACTATGAGAAATAATACGAGGATATGTGACTCGAGCAACCAATATTGAATTTCGATTTAAGATGGGGACATCTATTCTTTGACTGATATTATTTGTAAACACTTGCTCACCTATAAGAATTCGAATCTTAGTTGGCGACTGAACACGCTGCTCGTAACAAGGTGATCTTGCTATTGTAATATTTCTTTGGCGATTTTTTCCCACTCTACGTCAATATACCGCTCATCTTAGTGTATTGCAATGTGATAATATGTTTTTGAAGCTACACTGTAGAAATAATCATATCTTCAAGAGGAAGCTCTTTGCCAATACCAACAGTTTTTTTTTAAGTTCGAAGATTATTATAATTATTATTATAACGTGCACAAGAGAACTTGTGCCTGAGTATGCGTGAGATGTATCCCAGTTCGGATACACTTTACACGTGGCTGCAGCGTAAATTTTTATATGCATATGATATATCGGCAACTCGATCGCTCCAAGTCCAAGAAGTTGTCGACTTCGTCGTCATCCCTCGCGACGATGCCATTACCTCTGCGCGTCGTGATGCTGCTGCTGCTTGTGCAGCGAGTGAACAAAGTCAAACATTATACACTGCCCGGGGCTAATAATTAGATTCGTCCATACACCTACATCTATATACCTAGCGTTACAGCTCGTGCACTTCGAAAGCTGCTAAGTGCACCTTGGCGAAAGCTCCCGTCCCCCGCCTCTCCACCGGTCGGGCACCGGCTATACTACTACTTCTGCTACTAATATATACTACTGCTATATACGTGTAATAATATACATCGTGTAATTTTCAGTTGCCGAACTGCACCGATTAAATATGATTATTAACGTTATATATGTATGTATATTATGTTCGCAGGAGGTGACGTTACGGAAGGTGGGCAGCGCCGAGAAGCTCGGCCTCACCGTCTGCTACAGCTCCGGCAGCGAGGACGCCGACACCGAGGTCTACATCTCCGAAATAGTTCCTGAGAGCCTGGCCGCGCGCGATGGCCGGCTTCGCGAGGGCGATCAGATTCTGCGGGTAAGAGAATTACCGCTGCAGCAGCTTTTTTTTCTTTATTATATATGACCTTTCATGCTCGTGCCTTTGAGCGAGCCCCTTACTACCACTCAGCTGCTGCTGTCGCTAATAGGCTTATTATGATAATAAAGCTCTCGGCCCAGGGTTCGCTTTTGGGGGGAAAAAATGAAAAAAAAAGACGAAGGAAAAAGAAATCGATCCTCGAGAGAGTCTAGTTTAAATCATTTTTAAGCATCGCCTCCTGTATTATATATTATATCCTCCTTTTTTGCACAAACGCCACGGTACGAAGGTAGAGGCGCGCGCGAGCTTTAAATTACATCGTGCTTTGCATAATGCCTAATAAAAGGCCTGCGTTTGCTGCCGCTGCTGCTGCTACTGCTGCTGCCTCGGCTCACTCGGTACCTTTATAAATACGTGTATATACTTACACATACATACATACATATACTGACACGACGAGTTATGCCGCTTGTGTATAGCTCTATACAATATACGCGCAGGAGGAGAGTGAAATTTAACGTCGATGACGACGACGACTACTACCACTACTGCTACTACTACTATTCGCTTGCGGTATACGCGAATGGGTAGGGAATTCAGATTATACCGCCTTGGGGCTCTTTCTCTCTAGCTGTTACTACGTATTATCGTGTGCCGCTGCTGTGGCTGTAGCTGAAGCTGCTGCACCCACACACACACACACACACACGTGCAAAAGTCTCTCTCCGCCTGTGTGTGCTCCGCCGTCGAGTTGCGGCGAAAGCTTTATATACGCAAAACGTGCCCTGCCAGAGAGGGAGAGAGAGAGAGAGAGAGAGAGCCCAACGCTGCACTAGCGGCAGCAGCAGCAGCAACTTTCTCGCTGATTTGCATTAATTTCTAAGTAGTATTTACGTCAACTCTTGTAAGAGCGGATCCTCGTCGCCGCGCCCCCGCCCCCGCCTGCCTGGCCTGCAGGGGGCTCGAAGGCAGGCGCGCGCGCGAGCGAGAGAGAGCTTTTCACGCGCGGTATTATATTATTTGTAGCGCGGTGATACGTACCGTAGTAGGTATATACGAGCCGAGCGCCTGTTCGTGGCGCTCGAATTATGTAGTACCAGGCTGAGGGAGAGCGAGTGAGTTTTCACGAGAATAAATGCACGAGAGAGAAAAAAAAGGTTAAGTATTAAAGATTAAGGTGTAGGTATACGCGAGCGCATGCATGGTGGTGGTGGGTGCCAAAAGAATTAGGGGAGCAAAATCGCAAGGTGTGACGTTTCCTGCCCGTGCTTGTGCAGCGCCGTACGTCGCCTTCCCTGCATACAAATTGAGAGATCGAGCTCGCGACATGCAAAAGGAAGACTTACGTAGCGAACGCGTGCGACGTGTCAATCCTCTACTCGCGTGTCGACTCTTTTTTTTTTATATAAGGGAATCAATTTTCAAGAAATTAAAAGACATGACTTGGCTTTGCCCTTTTGGAGACACGTGCGTGCGTCGAGCGTGTATGCAGAGTTCGACGACCCTGCGTGCTTGTGGATCTAGTATTGCGTGTATATACAGCCAGAAAGCGACGGATATTTTTTTTGTCACTCCTTTTCTTTTTCGTTTCGTACACGCGCGCGTATTGTATGTTATACGACGAACAAGAGAGGATGCACCCGCGACGATATAGTATATATATCTGTGAACCGCTGAGAGAGAAAGAGAGTCAAAAAATATATTCATACGGCGCAAGTTTTGGTGCTTCTTCAATCGTGAATCGCGTAGCTTTTATACACGGCAAGCTACTACCAACAATGAAGAAAAAGGAAAAGAGATTTTATTTTGCCTTTATCTACTTTTTTTTCGTTTCTCTTCCTTCCTCTCCTCTATTTTGTCGCTTTTTTGCCCTCATCCGCGGTGGCGTGCTGCTGCGCGCATGCAACAGCTTTACACAGTTGAAGGCAGCAGCAGCATATTTTTACTCTCTCTTCTCTCGAGGCAGCCGCTGCGTGGTTGCGGTATATGACGGTCGGAATCGACGATGGTGCTCGAATTCGCAGTAGCGCTAGAGCGCGCGCGAGCTTTGATACTTTTTTTTTCAAGGAGGCTTCCTTTTACAGGTAGAGATATATTTACGTATACGTATATATCGCTCGCGCTCGCGTACACACCCACCAAATAACTTCCAATTTGTGTGCGACCTGCCAAAGCTCGTATAGCTGCTGCTGCGCCTCTCTGTTTACATCCGCTGCGGTGTGTGCGGCGGTGGTGGCTCTTTATTTATACACGCAACTTTCATATTTATGCGACAGCGCGTAGTGGAGGAGAGAGAGAGAGCCGTTGCCTCTCGCGGTTACTGTATCTTTTTTTATTTTACTTTTTTTTTAAGATCATTCAGAGAGCAGCCCGTGTGTATCGTTGAATACATTTTCGCGAGAGAGAAAGAGAGAGAGAGAGAGAGAGAGACGTGTGTGCAAATGAAGCCCCCAATGCGCAGCGACACGTGCTCACATAGTTCATATGCGCGCGCGCCTCTTCTTCATTCTCCTCGTTCTCTCTCTCTCTCTCTCTCTCTCTCCTGCTGTTATACTTCTCAGCTGGCGTATTTATGTATGTAAAACTTCGATGAAAATTTCGGCGGTAAAAAATAAATTCGTTGTACTTGCGCCATGCGGTTGTTTTTTTATTACTGCGCAAAAAAATTGTTTTTTTAATCTCGCAAGCTCTCCTCCATTGAGGTCGCGAGCGCGAGTCTTTTATATAGCTGTAGTAGCGCAGCAGCTTCGTCGTATATTTACATCAATGTGTATACCATGTCGATCATCAGGACTCGCCCTGGAGCTGTTGCGTATAGTTATTAATAATGCAGAAAAAATCGATGTAATCGAGTTCTCGTGTAAAAAATGACAAACTTGACGAAAAGAAAAATGAACGTCGTCGTGCATTATCTTACATGTATTGAAAATCGGGGAAACGGCTGTGCTATGTACGAGTAGCTGGCTATATACACTGGCAGCGATTCATTTATATTTTTGCGCGCGTAAACGCAAAAGTGCGGCGCTACTATGGCAACAACAATAACCGACGCTTGTGTTGTTGTGTGATGGGCGGCTGAGAGTTTAAAACACTACTACTATATATACGCGCATACAAGCTGAGCAAAAAGGGAGCTTTCGCATGCCGGTATAATAAAGACACATAGCCGCGTGGCGCAAGCAGAGGCGCGTTATACGCTCAGGTACGTACGTACTATACAGTCGAACGCAATTAACAAGTTTTCGCGAGCGATTTTCAACTCGCTCGAATTACACGCGTAGGCCGCGCGAGCTTGCTCGAATTTCCCTTTATGCTGTCTCTTTCTCTCTCTCTCTCTCTCTGGTTACTCGAATAAACGCGCGCGCGCGCATACACGGAATGCATAATCACGTTTGACAGGATTAAAATTACCACGTAGCAGCGCGCTGCAGTCTCTGGGATTTTGCGCTCTGCAGACGCTGCGAAAGACGCCCAGCCCCGCACGTTTTATATTATAACGTCCGCGCGAGCTCGCGATAATATATAATCGACTTTCACGCCGCCGATATCGCGCGATCGAGCTGGGCGACGCGACGTCGGGCAAAGTAAAATTACGCGCGTGGTACTAAATGATTAGCTCGTGATCCTCTTGACTCTTGGAGATGATAATTAACGCGCGGGCCGGGCCCTCTGCGTGCGAACGTATATATTTGATCGTGGAATTTAAGGCGACGTACGTCTATACTAGGCTGCACCAGCTCGGAGAGGTGATAGAGATGTAGAGATAGCATTTTCCGCAACGCTTAGAGCAAAGCGCCGCCGCCGTCGTACGCCACCAGTGGCATATCTTTAAGTTAAACCGCTCACGTAGGCTTTTCGGCTTTTGCCTCCGCCGGCACACCACACTCCTCCGACGCTGCTTGAATAAAATTATACATATAGCACGCGCCGTCCCGTATTTTCACTGATTTTACCTAGAAACGTATACATTTAAAATAGTCGAGCAGGGCTTTCTTCTTCCCGGTATAAACTCTCGTCGCGTCCGTATATTATGGATATAAATTATGCATATTATAATAATGTATATTGCCGCACTTCTTCTTTCTCTCTTTTTTTCTCTATACACACGTGCGCGCCAAGCCAAGCGAATTAAAAAACTAACGCGTTTTAGCCGTCGAGCTTTCGGGAGAAGAGTGGAGAGAAAGAGAGAGAGAGAGAGAGAGAGAGAGCTATTAGGGATCGACATTGTGAAAAAAATGTATTACTTATACATTATATTAATATATTCAAGCAAGTTTTTAACGAAGTAAAGCTTCTACTCCCTCCTCGGCTGCAAAATATGAGATAGAAATGGCTTCGAAGCTCTTGGGTATACTGCTATGTATACGTTGTGTGCGTATGTGTGCATTGGCGCATATCGCGCAAGTTTTACAGTTGCCAGCTGCTAATTTTAAAAGAGCCAACGTGTAACGCCCCACCGATCAAGGGTCGCCGTTGCTGCTGCTGCCGGCGCACTAACGCGTGTCTTTTCTGCCTGCAGAGCTTTTCTTTACTTTTTACGTTATGTACGTTATACACATACATATTATAACGCCGACAACGAACGACGACGACGACCTATAGCAGCCTCGCGTCGCCCTCTTAGGCGCGTCCTTGTGCTGCTATAGCTATGGTGTGTGTACTCTCACCTGCTGCCGTTGGTGCTGCTGTTGCCGCCACGCACACGCGGCACCATATCTCTTTCGCTCTCTTTTGCCCTTTTTTTTTGCGCCGCTCCGAGCTTTCGCTTTTTGACGAGCTTCCAGCCTGGATATTCGTCTTCGCTCTTTTTTTTGTGACGCACCGTATATACGACGACGAAAAGAAAAAGCACACCCGCGTCTACTGTATATTATATATACTTTGTGTTATGTACGCGTCGCTTTATTGTCGACCAAACAAATATATACTCTCTTCGGAACTGCGAACTCGAGGTATATAAATATTTATTACAATTTCTCATTTAATCCGAAAACAGACGAATTGCTCGCTCGCTCTCAATCATTCGAGTGCGCTGCAAGCTCGCATCATCTTTCTTCGACCCGTACTACACATCCGAAAGCCAACGCAATACGCACGATCTCGTGCTCAGACAATGGAAGGAAACGTAATGGTCCGGCGCTGTGCGGTACGTCTTGGGCTTGAAATATGGTCGACTCGCAATTTGTTAGCGATGTTCGGTCATTACCGCAATGATGAATCGTAAATTACTTCTCTCTTCGTATACGTAACGTGTAGCAGAAGCAACAACGACTTAGTCGTCGTCGTCCTCTCTTGCGGAGTTTCGAGCTATATAGCGGATAGCGGTAGCGACACATTGGACAGCTCATTTAATTGTATTAGTCCGTGGTGTAATAGCCTGAAATCCGTGTCCCTCTGTCTTCCTTCCTTCCACTCTCTCGCTCGCTGGCTCCAACATCTCTGAAAGCTCAGCGAAGTGTGTGTGAGTATACGGGTATCAGGTGCTTAACGCAAAGCCATCTCTTATCGGCTTATCTGGTTCGCGTTTTACGTATAGATATATAGTAATATATAAAATCCGGGAACATCGCTCGTGTCGATTATACACGCGTATGCTTCTGATGCCTTTCGCGCACCAACGCACAGCCCAGCATTTATCATCAAACATTATACATAAACGAGCGCGACTACATGCCATGCCTCGTTTAATCAGAGCTTGCAGAGTTCTCTAGGCACCATGCGATAATCGTTCGTCACACACGTGCTACTGCTGTTACTTACTACCTGCACATCGCGCAGCGAGAGATAGAGAGAGTGCGACGCTTGTGTAACACCTAGAGTGTGAAAGTACAAAAAGAGTAAAAAAAAAAAGTAAAAATAAAAAATACTCGCGCACACAGAGGCGCACCGATAAAAGCTTGTGAGCCCGGAAAGAGTATAGCACGTGCTGCTGCTGCTGTTGCTGCTACGCGACACACTGCACTAAAGCAGCTGCAAAGCGACGAGAGAGAGAGAAACTACCGAGCTTGCAGGCTTTGACGTCTACGAACGCGCTATCTCTCCCTCTCTCTCTCTCTTCATGGGTAGCTTTTCTAGCTGTGCACGCGCGCCACGGTAGCAGCAGCAGCAGCAGCTCTTTCTGCAGCTTTGCTTTGAAATAACACTGTGAAAAAGTGCCGAGATATGTACCATATATAGCCGGCCGAGCTTGCCATACAGTGAGCTCCATCATCTGTGCTGCTGCTGCTGCGTGTATAGTTTGCAATCGTCGACGCGCGGGGTATACACAAATATCTAGCTGCTACCAAACTCACGCGGGTATTTTTTAGATTTTTTTCTCACGCCTCTGTGTGTCCATACAGGCACGCCACCGTGTATGCATATGCCTGAGCTAGCTTTTTTCGACAGAGAGAGAGAGAGAGAGAAAAAGCAGCAGCACCTGAAACCCCCACGTATTATATGCATACTCTCGCGGGTGTCGCGTTGGCTATATATATATACATGCGCGGCGTGTAAGCGAGCGCTGCAGTTTAAATGCGTTCGGCCTTTTTTTTTGCTTTTATTTTGTATATTTTTTAGCGTATATGCCATAACTCTTTGGCTTTTGTGCTGTCCCACATTTCCGATGGGGTGTAGGTAGGTGGGTAGGTAGGTGCGCGTTTCGCGTACAAAACACTTTTTTCGAGAAATCAAAAACCGCGCCACACGTGCAAAAGACAGCAGCGCGTACGTTTTGTCCGTTTTATATATATGATTCTTTATACGTTCGCTGCGAGAGCTTGAATTTTTTCACGAATTTTCATCTCCGTTCTTTTTTTTTTTCCCCTCTTTTCGCAGATAAACGGCAAGGACGTCGCGAGCAAGGAACAGACGGAGAATCTCTTCGCGGAGACGAAAAATTCCGTGACGATACTGGTCAGCCGCTGCGTCTACGGGGTAAGTTTTGTAAAGTTACATGTAATATACGTATACCTATATAGAAATATCTCATACCGGGACCCGGCCACTAATTGCAGCCTTTTGTCTCTTCCCATTCGCAGGACGAGGACGAGTTCGATCGAACGGAGGTAAGAGAACTTTGTGTATATCGCATTACAGCCTCTCTTGACTCAATTATATATATTATGCGCATCGGCCTCTTCTTTTTTTGTACAACTCTCGGGCTATCTCTGCTCGGGCTACCCTTGCTTATCGTTTATTATTATTATCATTACCGAGGGATGAATCCGCGAGAGGCCGTTTTCTCTCTCTCTCTTACTCTACATTGCCGCGGTGGTCGTTTAAACGTCATTTACATGCCGCTTGAATGGAATTTTGAACAAAGGCAATTATGGAAATGGAGTGTGGAATTAGCGAACAAGCAGCGGCAACGGCGGCGGCGCCAGTAGAAGTAGCAGCCTAGTAGACGACCAACATGTAAATGAGCAGTCGTCGTCGCTGTGCATACCAAAGTTTTAATCGATATATATAATACGCGAGCACGGTACACACGCGCCGTTGCTGCTGTAGCTGTGTAGCTTGTTCGCGGTGCTTTCGGAGGATTAATTTCTCTACGTGTAGGCTTTCGGCGGGGCCCCCCCTTTTTTTATTTACGCATTGTACGTAATACGTACACGCATGTGCGCCGCTGCCGCCTCTTTGTCTCGAAAGATTAGTCTGAGGCTGTTGCGCTCGCGAGAACGCGTCGAGGCTCAAGTATGCGCTTTGCACGCAGGAGCTGGAGCTTTTGGATAACAATACGTCGTCGTCGTCGCCGCTGACGCTGCCACCACCACCACCAGCAGCAACGGCGCAGCAGCAACAAGCCACTACTCCTGCGTATCAGAACAGCACCATTGAGCAATTGATCAAACAGCAGCAGTTGGAACAGCAGCAGCCGAGGCCGGAGTCGCCGATACCTCCTGCACCGCCGGTTCACGGCATTCAGCCACAGCAGCAGGTCAACGGCGGTGGACTGGCTCGCAAGCTCGACGGCCTGAGCTTGCGCGGCGGCGAGGCTTACACGGGCGCGGGTGCCTGGAGCGACACCGAGCACATCTACGAGACGATACCCGAGTCCGACAGCGAGCCAATTTACTCGTCGCCCTACGAGCATCACATGCAGCACTTGCAACTCAAAGGACAGCAACTGCTGCAACAACAGCTGCCGCCGACAACAACAACAACAACAACAACAACAACAGCCACACAGGTACGTAACGATCATCCGTCGTTGTCGTTGTCGTTGTTGTCTTCGTCGCCGCGCACGAGAACCGCCGCAGCGGAGGAACTAACGTCGGCGATGATGTTACTGTGGCAGAACAACGGAGGCAGGCACCACTCCTCCTCCAAGAGCAACAGCTCCGGCGAGGAGAAGGACAGCTCGTCGGCCTACAATACCGGCGAGTCCTGCAACAGCAATACCCTCACCCTCGAGCTGCAACAACAGCAGCAGTTCCAGCTTCAGCTTCAGCAGCAGCAGCAGCAGCAACGTCATCGTGGCAGTACTCTGGTCTTGTGTCCGCCCGGAAGAAAGGCCGCCGACGCAGGGGGTATTCTGGCTACGAGTACGCCCAAAATTCAGTGCCACTGCTCGGTGCCCGTTGGACCGCCGCCTACCTTGAAGCCCGTGTCTAACAAGGTAAAAGTTTCGTTCGTTTTTTGGTGCTGAGAAAAAAAGTCTCGGGGCACTCGACCGATAAATTACACTTGTTCTGAGACATTCCAATTTTTCACCTAGAACAAAATAATTTTTATGAGAATTTTTGATTGTGTGAACGTCGTAGTTTTTCCTGTAGTATTTTTTTATGTGTTTCTGCATTATTTCTTAACAAAAAAATTATAATTTTCCAGCAGAGCTCACGACGTCAAGCCCAACCACAAGCACAGGCGCAGCCACAAGCACCGGCGGCGCTGAGCACCAGCGGCGTCCTCGCCGCCGAGACCATGTACACGAACGTGGCGAATCTCCAGCAGACCATGCGACTGCAGCAGCAGCTCTTCAAGCAGGCCTTGAACAACAAGCGTCAGTCGAGCAAGTCGACGAATCTGTTCCAGCAGCCGAACGCGCTGCCGAGCTACACGCGCCGCACGCGCACCAGCTGCAACGCCACGAGCTTCCAGGCGCCCAGTCTGGCGCAGTATCAGTTCGTGGCGAGCGCGCCCAACAACAGCTGCAGCCTGCCGCAGCAGCACTCGAGGATGCCGATGCAGCAGCTACAGCAGCAGCATCTCCAGCATCAGCAGCAACAGCAGGAGGAGGTGCAAATGGAGTGGAAGGTCAAGAGGCGATCGGACGGCACGAGGTACATAGCTCGCCGACCCGTGAGAAATCGCATACTGAGAAATCGGGCGCTGCGCATCAACGAGGAGCGTCAGGGTCATACCACGGAAGACGACGCCCAGTCCGAGATAAAGGTAATATTTGTTTTTACATTGTTATTGATTCGTTCACTTATTTTTACCAATAACGACTTTGCCGAAACAGGTCGGCCGATATTGGAACAAGGAGGAGCGCAAACGTCAAGCGGAACGAGCGCGCGAGCGCAAGCAACGCCAGCAAGAACTGCTGGCTCAGCAGCAACAGCAGCAGATGCAACAAACGTCCGAGCAGATAATTTGCGAGTTCATCGAGGACAGCACCAAACCGCAAACCGTAAAAATGAACGGCAAGCCGCCCGTGCCGATGATGACGAACGGCTCGACGACGGAGCAGCAGCACAAGCGTAACGCGAAGAAAAAGAACGGCGAGGACTTCGTCCGAGTGGCCGTCGTCGGTCCTCCGCCGGCGAGCAGTGCCGGCAAACTCATGGGCCTTTTATCCGTCACTACGGTTTAATTCGTTTACGCTATTTTATTTCTTCGTTTCTGTACTTCTAAGTCGTCGTCGTTGACTTTCACAGGACACACACATTAACACGCGTATATTCCTTCGTTACGAAATCCATATACGTAATACTGTCTATAATATATTTATACTAATAACGATAAGGAAATAATAGGTGCCATGCGATTCTTCTGTGAGTTATAACCAACTAATATATCACCATACGTAATGACTTTAACGAGTTTATGTAGTCACGCTATATGCAATACACACAACACACTTACTACCAAGTCGAACGTTAAATTCTCATCAAAAGTTCTATAAGTTGTAGATATGTATTATAATATGGTCGATCGATCGTCTCGGGGTTTAAACCTTTTATTACGAATAATATCTTGTGTTATTTTTATTGCATATTACTTCGGAAGTACGATTATAATTTTAGTAAAAAGAAAAAAAGAACAGAAAAATACTATGTATAAATATTGTAATTAAATATATAAATTTATATACGTGTTGCTTCATTCCACTATAATTGTCAGCTGTATATAAACGATGCTACATTATATACGCGCGCAAGTGTAAAAAGCAGCTAATCAATCAAATTATATAAAAAATTAGGCCGGAAAAAATTATAAAATTTATTTAATGTATCATACGATATATAATAATAAATAATATATTGCAAAAGTGTAGGACACAAGCACAATCAAAATATTTTATCTATAAAAAAAGGAAAAAAAAAGAAAAAACGAAAAAAAAGGCAAAGGAGCACGAGACTGGTTCGATAAAACTGCCCTTTCCTTTCAACTGCAAATAATTGTCAAATATTTCAATCAAACAAAAAACGATTTATATAAATATTCACCGTTATAATGACTATACACACATATTTGTTATGTTTTTGTAAAACTCATTGCAACACACTTCTTTTAACTTCAGACTTTTACTCGTGATATTAAGATTCATGCGGTTGGGATCGTCGCTATCATTCGTTGCACGAGATACCGAGATCACCGCTGTGATATTTGTAAAATAAAAGACTCAAAATAACGTGTACCGATTATAAATACGAAAAACATTATCAATGAAAAAAAACGATCAATCGAGTGGTATGATCTTATGGCTCAAGTTTTCACAGGGTAAACTCATTTTTATAAAAAATGCTTCTTCCACACTGCAAGGATAAAGCTGTGTATCTATGATGAACTTTTATATGTTGCTTCAGCTCCTTCGCTGCCTTAATTGTAAGTAATATACTTCCAGATCCATTGAGCTTGAAGATTATATCGCTCATTCCTTGATAATACGTTGGGATAAAAAATAATTTTTTTTTCTAAAAGTGTATAATTTTTAAAAATTTTATGAAAGATATAACAATTAATGTAGAAATAAAATGTCTATAATTATATCGAAAAATTGTAGTTTATAAATTTATTCACATCTTTTAATGTTAAAAGTTTTTGATACAACAAATTTTTTTTAAAGTTCACTTTGTAAATGAAAATATTACAGTTTTTAACTTGATCTGTACAAAATATTTATTTTTCTATACTAATTATAATTAATAACGAACTTGTTAAGACATTATTCGTTACCTGCCTGCAGGTGTTAAGAGGCAATTATGTTTTTACGAAATCCTTGATGTTACCTCTGAATACATAACCATGCATTTGTTTAACGTTTTTTTTTTTTATTAGAAACAGATTTTAACCATTCACACTCTAAAAAGGCACATTCAATACAGCGTCAAATAAAGAAAAGCTTCTCAGATTATTATCCGATAAATCTCAAAAATGAAAGTCAGTAAAATATAATAATGATCAAAACATACGTCTTAATCTTAGCAACATGCTTGTTTGTGAAAAAGAAACTTCAAGTGAAAACACATTCTCAATGAACACACCGTTATTACACGTATGATTTACTTGACTATTTACAGTTTTTTTATGTCTTAATCTTATCAAAATAATTTCTCCATAACATTAAAATAATATCGAATCTGTTACTTAAACAATGTTTATACTATTCAATACTTTCTTTTCATCCGGGGTAACATGTTGAGCAAACTGTGGGAAACCGGGATGAGTAGAAAAGTTTTGCAGAAAATCGCGCAAGTACTGTCCCATATCTAGTAGATAAATTTCATCTTTTCTAATATCTGGATCGAGTTCCTCCTCCATATCATCTTCGCGGTCATCGCCAACTGAAAAATAAGATTAAGTAAAACTTTGGCACCTGGCACGTCTTTTGCATTTTATTAAATTATCATAACATACTCATACGCAGAGAATCAACGAGTACATCGCCTTCTTCGTCATCATCCTCGCTGTCTTCGCTACCCTCTTGCTCAGCGGCATTAACTTCGAGGTAGTGCATTAGTTCGTACACGATGAGTTTGAAGATTTTCACTAGAATTGGAATTTGTGCAAATACAATGGGTCCAGCCTTTGATCTCGTTCTTGTCTCTATACCACCGATTCCATCACCTAAGAAAATAAATAATATATTTTTCATGTATTTTGAACATAAAAATTTAATATTCATAATTACAAACCTTGGACAACAGCACCTTCAACAAGGATGTCGTTTAATCTTTCATCTCCTTGAGTAACTCCATATTCTAATAATTTACACAAGGCTACTGTGGATACCTTTCGGTCGTAATTACCGAAAAACAGCTTTTGCTTATTAGCCCACTCTCTCAGCACAAACGCTAAAGCACTTTCACCGGTTGGACCAGGAACCGTCGATAAAAAGTTTAGCACTGCGTTGAAATTTGAATTTATCAGATGGGCATAAATAATCAGCAAACTCTGCATTACAGTCGAAGTTTCAGTTCTTTGCATTTTACTGAGAACACCCTTCAGCAGCTGATCAAGGGTATCTCCCAAACAGTTTCCTGCTTTCCTTATCAGAGTTACTATTAATTTGCCGACATAACATGCCGAAAATTCGCTCGACTAGACAATAATAAAAAATACGTACGTTTAGTTATTTATTTTTTCAAACTTAAATAATGGTCTTTTATTTTCAATATCTTTACCTGCGGATCCAATAGTACTCTTATAACTTCCAATACATACTGTAAGCCAGTTCTACCTTCAGGATCTCTATGCTCAAGCACTTGCTGAGGAGAAACCGTCAAGTAGTATCGAATGACTTCACCACCATTCTGAAGAACAGAGTTGTCAGTGGACTCAATAATGCAGTGACAAGCTACAGGGAAGGCACTATCCATAAGAGCACTGCTCAGAGGTGCAGGTGAAAATTGTACCAAAACGCCCAGCACTTCCATAGCTTCGGCTCGAAGTCCCTCTAAAATTAGAAAATAAAATTTATTAATTGAAGATTAAATTTGAAAGAAAAAAAAGTAGAAATCGTTTTACCTTCAGTAGTTTTTCCGTTTTGTCCAACATTCAACATACTAATTAATGTCGGTACCAATCGATTTTGTAGTGCACCAATACATTCAGGATTTACCGTCAATTCTTTGAAAATATCTTGACATAAACCTGAAATTTCATGATCACTGTGGAATTTTACAAATGCAGCTATAGCAAGTGGGCAAATTTTATTTTCAACTGAAGCTGTAAATGCTTTATCCACCTAAAATTGTGTTTTTTTATTACATTATTATTCCAAAAATGCTTTGCATAAAAAGTAAGAATCATACTTACCGGCGCTATAACAGACAGCGTATCCAATACAATGATCAAAATTTCTTTATTCCCCATTCCGGCTATACTTAATAGTCCATCAAATATTGCTGGCAAATTTGGTCGTAACATATTTAAAAGGGTAATACTTTCATTTGTAACGGCTGCATCGGCGTAATAAAAAATGGACTTAGCTGAAGCAACTCGCAAGCAAGCAATTTGTTGCGGTTGTAAACCATTAATTATAGCTTCTAAAAATTTGGAACTCATTTCAGGGGGTAATTCCTTGGCATAACGACCAGCAATGATTAGGCATCTACTCAATAAAATCGGGTGAGCATCTGAAAAAAAAAACAATAATAATAATAATCATTTGGTTAAGAAAAACGACAAACAATTGATTTCTTTTATGATATAAATAATTACTTGGATTATTTAATGTTGTCATAACAATACTGTCTAAAAATTTCACTATATCAAATGGTAACTTTCCAGCTTCACCAAGAGACACAATTGAAGATTTTGCAATATTTAAAGCTATTATACATGATTCATAGATTTTCCAAAGATTGTTATTTTCTTGAGTCGGGGCAGCATTTGATTCTTTTATTATTGCCTCTTCTATATGTTTCGAAATCGCATTACCTAATGCTCCGACGCATAGTTCTTCATTTTGCGATAATAGAGTCTGAATAAATGAATTTGAATTAATTTCTTAAGATAATCTTAGTTTGATTAGATGATTATCAGAAATAATTTGAAATTTACCGATAAAAGTTCTAGAGCTGAAATTCTCACAGTGTAGGTAACTGCTACAGTTTCTTCTTCAACAAACGCGTCCGGAGCATGTTCCCATTCATTTAATTGATCTTCTGTTGCCTGTCCAAAAATAATGCTGTAATACATTATGTCATGTACAAATTTATCCAAGAGAGGAGCGTATCTTTTATGATCAACCATGGCACCAATGAATTCAAGAAGAGCAATTATTAAATTATGGAAAGTAATCACTTGACCTAAAATCAAAATTAGAATTTGTATCGTATAAATTATTATATCAACTTATTTATGGAAACACCAAAGATAGAATAAAAATAAAAATGATCGAAAATGTTTAACTTGACTTTAGTATCTTCTTGAGCAATAAATTTTTAGTTTAACTCACCATCGGAATCAACTTCTTTATCATTTTCATCTCCAGTAATAATTTCTTCATGATAAAGTTTGGCACATTCAATCAATATATTCCATATGGCAGATAAAATTTGAGGAACATAAGGAGTCATTTTTTTTGAAACATTCAACACAAGCCAATTAACAGACTTGACAATTTCAGTTTTAAAGCCACAGTCAATTCTTGGATCTGAGCAAGATAAAAACTCAACAAATTTTTCACAATACACTGGTAGCACTGGTTGTAGATATTTATCTATGAGTCCTTTGTCAGTGTAAGCAGTTACTGTAACTAATTGGGTTACAGTGGTAAATACTTCCACAGCCCTTGCTCTTATTCGTGCAGCGTACTGCTAAAAACATTTTCCTTTGATTATTGAGTGAATAAAATTGACAATATTAAATCATCATATCGATTGTTACCTTATCATTGCTTAAAATTCTGTACATTTCTTGCAAGATTATAGGTCCAACATTTGGCAACTGGTTATCACTCATATCTCGAGTAAATTCAACCATAACTCTCATGGCTCCATGAACCGAATGCTCATCATTTTCATTTAAATGGGCAATTAAAATATCAAAAAGTTCAGGCCAATTTTCAGGCCAATCCCATGAAGCAATTTTTGAGATTGCATGAGCAACAGCACTACGTACCTATAAAAAATAAGTCAAAAATGATTATCTTGATTTCTTTAATCATCTACTGAATGTTCAATTCTTACTTTGCTTAATGGTTCCTTTAATCCTAATATAAGGAGTTCTTTGATTTTTGCTTTAATGAGAGGTTTTAATTCAGGTGGACGAAAAGTATTTGAAAGCGAACTCCAGTGATTCTCTACATACTGTTTTAAAAGAACAGATGCTAGCTGTCTCTTGGGTGGAGAACCACTAGGATCCACGACAAACTGGGTAAGATAAATTCCATACTCCTCCGTAACTTCCAATGCAGCTATGCGTTGTTCAGAGCTCTCACGTGTAGCCTTGTTAGGTGATAAAGAGCAATTGAGGACATCAATGATAGCTTCTTTCATAGAGACTTCCAAATCCATTTTTATGAAGTAGTATTATAATTTATTCAGAACAATGTTGACCTGCAAAATGATTTAGATCAGGAAAATTATTAAAAGTTTTCGAAAAAAATAAGCGAATACGACTAAAAAATTTGTAAAAAAAATCAAAGATACAAATCATGCTAAAGATACCGGCAAGTTATTGTTAATTTTTAAGGTTAGAATTATTGACTGTGCAGATAAAGAAAGACCACGATTCGTAGCAAAAAATGTACACGATGTTAAAAGCGACGAATACTTTGTCAATTGACTGAAAAATTTATCATTTAAAAATGTAGTTTTCTTTTGAATCACCCGTAAGTGTAAAAACGTGCACTAACTTGTCAGCTTGTAACCATGCACACTTTTTACAAAATCAGTAAGTCTTTTTTTATAATTAAAGTAGAGTGACAAACCTTTCATCGAAGAAACTCCTATGTGCCTTGGACAGAAACTCGTGTTCGATGGCAGAAATTTCACACATAGATAGAAACACAATTAGCCAGCGATTATTACCTCACTGATCGCACATTCCAAACATAAAAGTGCGGGAAAGACGACACTGCATGGAATTGCTCATAAACCCCTCTCCTCGCACAATATAGACGTGAGCTAAGTTTAAAGCACTGCGCACTGCGCAGAGCAGTACTCACTTATACGATTTGCGACGAATGCGGTCGTCTCGCGAACTGTCAGAAATGTCAAAAATCCGTCCGGCTTAATGGTGGCCGTTTGGAACTGAAGTATTTAATAGTTAATTTTTAGGCAAAAAAGCTTGTTTTCTATTCAATGCCTCTAGCACTTTCTTTTAATTTCTTGAATAAAAAAATTCGATTTTTAGTATACTTACAATATTGTATTAAATTTTAACAAATGCAAAGAATTGTTTAGAATCAGAAGGGCAATGATTCATTTTTTCAAGTTCAAGTAACTAATTTGTTGTTGAGGCAGGGTATCAAAATGAAATGATGCGTTTTTAGTCATCAAGTTTTGTTTTATTACGAATTATGAAAAAATATCACTTAGTGAACTTAAAATCTAAAAACTTAGGATACACATGATACAAAACGTTTGATAACTTATGACGTGAACGATGAAAATACATAACACTTATATAGTTAGGTATGAAAATTTAGATGAATGTACTTAATCTTAGTATCAGAATATGCGCATTGGGCACTACTTCTTCTTTGCAGGAGTCTCCTCGTGTATCTGATCTGCTGTCATCTTTTTTGGCACATCATTAATAGCTGGTTTACCAGTGAGCTGAATTTTGACTGGTTTTTCATCTTTGTTCTTGTGTTGGTCTTTGCGTGGGGCAGTGATGCTGAGCACACCGTCGGACGAGAGACTCGAGCTGACTTGATCCACATCGCACTGTTCCGGTATCAAGTATTTGCGTGTGAACTGGCGAGAAATCCAGCCGTGCTCGTCTTGCGTTTCGTCGTGTTTGCCTGCAAACAATTAAAGCACATCAATGATTAGATATTAAGTATGATGTTAAATAATTCGGTTTATGTAGTGTTTCATGGACATTTAAATTTAAAAAGAATTTATTCTTTAGACTTATTGACAGAAAACGATTTTAATATTTAAATTTAAATTTTGAAAGGAAGTCATAAAATGAAGGAGAAAAAAAAAGAAGTCTCAGAAAATTATTCTGATTTTCTGAATGTGTAGCACTGTATAATATAAAAATCAATTACCTTCAACGACGACGAACTTGTCGACGATTTTCACGTTGATCTCCTCGGGTTTGAACTGTTTCACGTCGAGAACGACCTGGAAGCGGTCCTTGTCGTTTTTGACCGTGGAGGTACCGCCGCCCTCGTGTTTACGCATGATCTCGCCCCAGGGTCTCAAGTAGGGTACGCGTTGTTTTGGCTGATGATGAGGAGGCACTAGGTAACTTCCCAGGGACGGGAAGTTTGGGCACACGAGTTGCTCCGGGTGCAGTCCATGGCCGAACTCCTGGTCGAGGATGCGATGAGGCTGATCGAGATCTTGCCACCAATCGGAGAACATCAGAGGTACCAGAGACATGGCTTTTTCGATTTTTTCTGCAAAAATAATAAATGACAATTTGTTGGTTAAAACGGATTTGACAATGGCGTTTGTAAGAACCGCAGAGGAACTACAGAGAAATGCAAAATAAAATTAATGTATCCTACCTTTGACAAAAAACTTTTAAACGAATCGTAAACTCGACGACTACTTTTACAAAGGAGTCGTAGAGATTGAGATTTTTTGAACGTGCGTTCGCTTCGAATGCTTGTGTTCAACTGATCGGTCGGGGCGCAGAGCAGCGCTTTTTATACCAGCTCGCCGGCCGGCCGTTTGAGAAGCGTAGGAACTAGCAGCCACGCGAATCCTCGAGATGTTCTATTAGCTTCTATTGGTGAAAAATCACGTTTATTGATAATATTTATTATGGAAAATTAGATGGTATGATTAAAAAGTCAACGTTTAACGATATTTCGTAAAAATTTATCGGTGCAAAAGCAAAGAAATACGCGAACGTCGATTTTGACGGTTGCTAGGCTTTGTTTGCAAGCCGAGGCAGCTCAGATCGAACTCGCTCGAGCAGGCTTCTGGCAAGATATTATGTGAAATTCATTGAAAAATTAATTAATTCTTGTTTTTTTTTCATGTGAATCGGCGAAGAGATTAAAGAAAATTTGATGAAAATCTTTAAAAACAAACAGCCAAAACAAACAGCCATTTTTGATTATCCAGCATTTTACAGCAATACGTACAGCAAACGAATTTGTTCATTTCTCGTCGCCGACGTTTCTCATACGTTCGTGTCGAGCCGTATATAGACACTTTCATGTTTACAAAGGATACGCCTTGGGACGGTAATAAAATACTCGACCTACGCACACTTCATTACTTGCATCATTTTTCGTGCATACGTCACTGAGACATTTATCAATCGTCGGCCATTGCTGCATAATAAAAAAAAATGCGTTAGAAAACATCCAGAATAATCTAATGTCCCGAGATGCTTGTAGGAGGGTCGAAACGCGCTCGAATCGTTTCATCTAATTCGAGTGTATTGTTAGGTCATAATACATCGTCGTCGCATCGCGAGAGGCAAAAAAGGTCTCAAGTCCTACGATGACAATATGGACTTGGGACGATTTTGGCCCTCGAGTTTGACGCGATTCCTTTTTGCACCGAGGCTACGATACAAGAGCAAGAATACAATGGCGTATAGAGTAGATGCGATGCGAGTCAGCTCGCGCGACGCCCTTCCTATATAGGGCCGATTCTCGAGCGAGCTCGGCGTATGTGTAGCATTATCATAGTCAGCCGTGCAGGTGGTGGTGACTCGTGCCGGAGCCCAGAAGCTATATACGAGAACATTTGCGCATCTGCGTATTGCATTGCCGGTGGCAATTCTACAGTTGCGATTTTTTAAACGATAACATAATCGTGCGCCGTGGTTAATCGGATTTGGATGAGCTTTTGATATGTTGTAGAGCATGGAAGAATAATGGGAGAGCCGAGATTATTCACCCCCAAGTTGCTCGTAAGCGCCACAAATCTTGTACAAGTCCGATTTCCATTAATGTCTACGCTGAAGTCATTTTTGAATATAAAATTTTGAAAAAATTCACAGAGCTATTCGTGATCGATTCAAAAAGCCTTGATTTTATTCAGATTTTTTGGATACTTTAGGGTTCCAGAAAAAATTATTGAAAATTTCGAAAATTCGTCAGTCTCATTCTGATACGAAATAAACCTTGAAAATTTTTTCATTTCTTTTTTGCTTTAAAATACGTAATCTCGGGTTTTTGCAGATTTTCTCAAACGATATTTCAAGTCTTAGAGTCAAAAACTTCCCCCTTTTAAATTATTATTTAAAAATTACTATTTTAGACACTCTAATGTTCAACCTCTTGCAATAAACTTAAAAAATTTCTAGGTAAACGTTTCATATCAATTTTTGAAAACGATAAAAGTATAAGCTAAGTTTAAACAATTTTTAAACGTTATGCATAATTTTTGTTAGTGGAAAAGTAAGAATTTCTCTCAAGTATTGGTTTACCCTATAATTTTTAAGTTTTTCTTACATTAGAGACTTTATCTAGTTACTCGTCGGGTCATATTTATTCAAATAAAACAACTTACTGAAGAAATCGGTAGAGCCGATAATGCTTAATGAATAAAAAATCTTCCTATAGATTTCATACATGAATTTTGGCCTGGTCACAAAAATGTGCATTTTGCAAGGAATACATACAAAAGAAATCGATAAGCTCTTAAAACTTCCATGCATTTTCGGGCTTCTTACGCTATGTTAGCGATATCTGGATGAACCATGTTGTTGAAAAATAATTTCAACAGCAACAACCCAAGTCTTTTTATCACAAATACGCTCATGATGCCACATAAACGATTTAAACATAATTGTTCCGAACGTGTGTTATTCCGTCAACAATAAAGCGTGAAAGACGATTTATATATTAAATTTATATAAATTTCGTATGAATAGTGTCACAGGGGGTCGTCGTTCAAGTTTGACGCCTATAGCCGCATAGACAAAACGATCCGTTAATTCCACGACATGCGCATGAGCACGACGATCTCGTCCTTGACACTGATTTTATAATTACCATGTGTGACATTTTACTATTTACATTATTTTCTTTGCATTGCAATAGTGTATTATTAATATTGTATATCATTTAAATAAGTGTAGAATGTAGATTCTCGCTCTTTATTAGTCTTGATGGATTATCTAAATTTATTTTTGGTAAACATTAATTGCGCATTCTTTGGTGCTTGCAGAAGTCAAAATATCGGGAAAAATGTAAATCTTATTCACAGTAAATCATGAAATTTGATTGAAGATTGTAATCTCCGAATGAAAATTTAAGAAAAATTCGAAATTCAAACGAATTACAATATTAATTCAATGAAATATTGAAACATCGAAATGACTATCAAAGATTTTGCTTCTTGTTGAGAAACCTCTGTGAGTTAAACTCTCAACAAATGTTGGGAGTATTTTTTTGGTCGATCGTGAACAGAGCAAACCATGCAACCAGTGGTCCTGTGACAAATTGATAACTATAATCTGACTTGTAGCTCATATCATTAATTGAGCTTCGATCCTTAGATCACATGAGTATAATATTAATTAGATACTGTACTATTATGAGCTCAAAAATGTAATCATCTTTTGTGTGAATGTTTTTCTGTATATGTCGGACGTATGTGTAAATAAATTTTAATTGCCATTTCGGCGTAATTTTACTGACACACGAGTGCCTTTTACGCATTGCTGTCTCTGCGTATGCAAAGTCGACAAAGAGGGGTGGGGGGAGTATTCCCATGAAGCTATCACAATTTTAGTTATACCTTACACCTAATTCACACATCAAACACTTCGAATGTGATATTTGTAACAAATGATTAGGATATAATAGTGATCTCAATAAACATATAAATATACAGTTTATCATCTTATCAAATCTTTCGATTGCGAGATTTATCACAAGTCATTTGGAAAGTATAGTATACACTCAAGAGATATATGGTGACAGTATGATAGCACATCATCGTTTAATTTGTAAAAGATATTAAAGCAAATGAAACTGTTGTTCATTTTGTTTTGACTGTGAAACCCTTCTTTCTTATCTTTCTTACCTAAAATCCAATATTAATGTGGTTTCATCGTCAAATAATTCATTCTATTGTTTTTCTATCGTTCTTAAACCGTTTTATTAACATTAGTTTGATTATTTACATTATCTGTAATTAATTGAAATTAATAATGAATCTTATCCTACTCGAATGGCCGTGATTCTCCAGTGTCTATCCCTTATAGTGAACATCTTCAAAAAGTTTTTCTAAATCGAATTTTGATTGAAAGGATGATAAAAGTAATAGAAAAAATTACCCGGGTGATGTTTATATCGATGCTGTTTAAGGGACACTAACATGTTTCAATTCATTAACAAAAACTAAAATTTAAAAAAAATTTCGATTTAATTCGAACACTAGCACGTTGAAGCAGTGGTTGCAAAAAAATTTTTAATGAATTAGTCCGACGCATAGTATTATATTTTGTGACAGTCGTGTTGCGCTGTCACAGGCCTCTCCCCTCTTCAGCACGCAGTCCCACTGTGATATGGGACATAGGCACGAAAATGTATCTGACGCAGCAGCCGCAGCGACGCGCGTGTATGTAAGTGTGTGCGTGCGAGAGAGAGTCCGCGTGTCATCGTGCGCGTTGCTCCGAATTCGACCGTGTCCCGAGATAATAATTACGACTGGACGCGGCAAGTGCGTGACGCGAGATTCGCACGACTTGCGCGGGCGTATATTCGACGCGGGTCGATCGAGGACGAATCGGTGTATTCGCGAGAAGTATCTCCGGCGAATTGAATTGTGAATTAGAATCACGTTAGTTTTCTATTATTGCGACTTCGCGAACTGTGCAAGCCAGCAGCAGCCCACACGAGCGAGAGGGTCAAGCCAGCTGCGATTACAGCGAGCGGCCATTGACGGCATACACCTACTGTAAGTACCTCTCGAGTACTCGACCTCTCCTGCGTGTGCAATCGCGTCTCAGTCGAAAAGTCCATTCAATAAATACTCTATTATTTTGCCTATTTAATTCCCCTCTCATTATTTCGGCAAGACCTTCCCTTTTCTTTATCCTAGGTTAGACCACGACGCCGCCGCGGTCGGTGCGAATTGTCGCACCGAGTAACTGAGCCAGCCGGCGATCAGCGCGAGGACTCGCATCGCCTAGGACTACCCTGTGGATATCGTAGCGGTCACGGGAACCGTTACAATTTAGTCCAATCATTCAATTTTTTACTTGTTTTGAAAGTATCCAAATTTATCTAGAAAAAAAGTAAATTTATGATTTCAATACAAAATTTCCTCGGTTTCCGATGGTCTGGTTAGAATACCCAAAAGTTTTTATTTTCCCAGAAAAATCTTTAAAGCCGATTTTATGAAAAACTTCACATTTAAAATTTCTGTATGTAATATTACATTTTTTCTCGATAGAAAAAAAACAGGAACTTTTTTAAAATAATTATACTTCAGGGAATGTCTTTGACATTTTAATAAGTGGTAGGAACAGAAAGAAAATAAACGTTTTTGTAGTCTGCTTGGTGCGGCACAGAATCACCGAAAATCTAAGAAAATTTTTCCAACAAATCAAGAGTTAGCTTTCTTTTCTAATTGCATTGAGGAAGTTTTACAGTGAGTTAGTAACAAAACAGAAAAGTGTTAGTTTTCATTGATGAATTGAAACGTGAATCGTGATAGCGTCATCATTATGATTATCAATATTGCTTGCAATAGTATTCTTCTTATTAATGTTTTCATTATATGTATTTACAAAGAAGCATATAAGGATCTGAAAGTTGCCACGTACGAAATCGTTCCTTTTATTACCTGTAAAACATATTTTACAAATTGTGATTTTCAGTGGAAAAAAATTAATCAACTTACACTGCTGCAAGTGTTAAAATTCAATTCAATCGTTGGCCCAGCTGCTAATACGAGAGGTTTTATTGACTTAGCCATTATCATTATCAACATCAGCCGAGCTTTTACAGGATAATCGTACCAGTTTATGCAATAGCTGAAATACAAATTTCACGAATAAATTTCATCTAATTGCTTTAAAATTTTACTTTTAATCACTCATCCAAGAGAGAAAGGATTGATGTTTACCAACGTAGGAAAAAGTCATAGCTGGCATTGCTCATCAATTGACTTGGAATACACATTTCAATAACAACAATCAAAACAGAAGTGAATGCAACAAACATTTTTGCAGCTTCCGTTAAGTCCGAATTGGCAAGTGAAATTACCATCTGAATTTTTCTTGTATTAGATTTGATGAAATTATCTTAGTTATCTTCGAATACTTACCCATGTTCCAGTTAAAATGAGAATGAATGTATCTATTACTATTATTACAAGTGCCGAAGGACTAACTATGGAATGAAAAATTTCAAAAAGCCTAAAATCATGAAGTCTGTTCATTGATTAGTTCATTAAGTTTTGTGTTTATTCATAAATTCATTCGCCTCTTGTACGATTTGTGATTTTATTTAGTGAGATTTAGGATCAATCAATAATGAAAAAATATTTTTCATGTAAAATAATAGTATAAATCGATTAGAAGAAGTTTGCACGAATTATCGAACTTACTTGATACAGTTTTGATGTCGAAGAATTATCGCTTTGAGTTTTTCACAAATTAAGTTAGTTTTACTTTCATCAAGTTTAGGCGTCGTGTAATTGTATCCGTTGTCTATGTCATTTAAGTAATATCTAATTTCATCGTAATTCGTCAAAGACAAAGAAGTAATCATGAAAGAAAGTAATAAAATCGACAAAAAAAAATTCAACAGTTTTTACATACTCTAAACATTGAAGCTGTCCCACAATAACGCCTGCATAGATACATGCATAATAATTTAAGGCTCCCGCAACTATAACGAGTAACATAACAATAAAAAACTGTAGGACAAAAATGCCATAAAAGTATTCATTTTCGTCAAGAAAAAGTTGAGTCTTCAATGGCAAAACTTTTTCGTATGTTGGATTTTTTGGAATTAACCACGACAAAATAATTGGAGTAGCTACTGGAAATATTACGTAGCTTGAACACAACATCAGGATGCCAACTGTGAAGTAACGAACGAAATGTATCGAGCTTATAATTGTCATTGTTTTCAGAAAAACATAGATATTACCCATTTGAATAGTACTCAACCAAAAAGCCTTTTTAATTACTTTATCAAGTATTTTCTTTCCAGATGAATCACTGCTTTCAAATAGTCTGAAAATAATTGACATACACATAGTCATCTGAAATGAGGATTGTTGAATGATTATTTTTATTAATCGGATGAATTAAGTAAAATCTTGAAGAAAAACGCATTTACCTTATTCTGGTTAAAAACTATAAAAGTGTAAATGTAACATATTAATAAAAACATAAAAATTTGCAAAATACATTCAATTATACTGTTTCCGTTAATATTTTCCCCTTTACGTTCCTCGAATACTTGCAGGGCCTAAATATATGGTTTAGTTAAATATTAAAAAAAGTTCGTATGTTCACAATAATTCAATATTTTCATTTGTGGAACATAATATTTTTCTTAAATGAAACGATTTTATTAATTTATTCAGCAGGTCTGTTTCATTGAAAATACTTACTGAAGAAATCGCCAGAGTTAACAAGTATAAATGAATAAAAAGTCTTCCTATGAATTTCGTAAGTGAATTTTGGGCTGGCCACAAAAACGTACATTTTGCAGTGAATATAAACAAAGGAAATCGAGAAGCCCCTACGGCTTCCATGCATTTTCGGGCTTCTTTATGTAATTTATCAATATCTGAATGAAACATGTCGTTGATGTTGATGATGTTGTTTACAGTGGTAGATCAAGTTTTTTCAATACGAACCAGTATTTGACGACACAAAAATGAATGAAAAATTATTGTTTCAATCGAGCATTATATCATCAACAATAAAATGTGTGAAGCGACCAATGAAAATTATTCAGGCGAACAAAACCGAATGAATGTTTAATCTACAATTCATATAAATTTTACATAGTTAGCGCCACTGGGGGGGGGGGGGGGGGNNNGGGGGGGGGGGGGGGGGGGGCAGACTTGAGTATTCTGTTCTTCGTTGTGACCGCCGATAAAGGAAAATAAATTCGAAGAAATAATAACCCCACAAGTAGAACGCTATAAACTGCATATTTTGGGAGGCTTTACGTGACAATTCCTTTACCCGAATTTATATATGACACTCGTTTCGCGTAGGCTTGCCGCCTTAAAGTTGCCAAATTGGCAAAATGACACGTGCATGACATTGGCGTGTGGTATTTTTACTATTAACATTGTTCTCTATAAATATTACAATATTACGTTATTCTCATATTCAATCAGTTATAAATAAGAAATGTAATATTTTTCTTTATTTTTTTTACGATACACTTACTTTCTTTACTCTTTTTCAATAATAGTGGACAGTATAACTTCTCACTGCGACGACCATTTGTTACATATACTTTAGTGCTTACATAATAATATAATGTAAATCTTATTCAGGGCGATTCATGAATCTTAAATATTTCAATCTCAGTATGACTATTCAAAAAATTTTTTAATTTTAATAAATTACAATATCACTGCAATAAAATATTGAAAAATATCGAAATGATTGTGTATTATTTTGCTTGGCGAAGTTTTGTGATAATTGTAAGCTAGATCAAATTTTCGATAAATGACATGATCAAGTTTTTTTGGTCAAATATGTATGTGGGCAATCACCAATTGAACTTCATTCCTGATATCATGCGTGTATAATACCATTTTGTATATTTGTCATTTGATAGAATGTCTTTTTGCATATATCACACGTGTATAAAAAAATTTGCTGAGTGCATAAATCAATTTTTGATTGCAATTTGGGTGTAGTTTCAATGACACGCGGGAACCTACACATTTATAGCAGTACACTAGTACGTATGTCAATTAAGGAGGCTCTTTCGCTGCAATGTTTTTTACATTAAGCGTGCGGAGAGCTAATGCATGGTGCAGCGCGCAACGTACTGCGCATGTGCTGTGCCACTAGTCGCGAGCAGTCAGCAGAGTAGTATAAGAATTTTTTTATTATATAATTGTTAAATATTCATTAACAAATTTATTTAAAGAATGTTAGTGTTAATATTTTTTTAATAAAAGAATTTTTTTACAGAATTTATACTATTTTTTTTTTTAAGCGCATTTGAATTTCACGCGCTTTCGTGCGCACTGCAATGCTGCTGGCTGCTTCGAGTCGCCCCCCAAAATTGACCATATAAAGTGGATTATCTTCTTAGAATGGCCAGCTACCCCTATTTTTTTTACAGGAAACGATTCGTGAAACTCTAACGAATCAATTGATATAAATTTTTTGAGGATGTAGAATTTTTTACAAAAGTTATTAACGAAACAAGATCATTTCCTATACAAGTCCATGTTAAAATTGCAATTTTCGATAGCATTTTTCTCGGAAACGAGTTCAGCTACCCCCATTTTTTTTTCTTCCTACATAATTGTGAGGCTCTAACGAATTGATTGATATAACTTATATGAGGATGTAGAGTTATTATCAATATCGAAAGAGCCTCCTTAAGTTCGACGAGAAAGGTGGAAAGTATTTTCAAGAAGGTATCACAATTGCGCGACAATCTCGCTAAAATATAATCGTACCGTTCAGTCGCTAACAAGAAGTCAAGTTTCTGATTATTTGTAAATACTTAACTATCAGAAAAAGAGTATAGGCCTCAAACATTTTCTTCGTTCATAACATAGAAATCATAGAAAAAAAGAAATAACACTGTTATAGGTATAACTATTTTTATGCATGTCATGCTATTTTTTCAAGCGATCACTTCATAAAACTGATTATTTTCAGAGTAAAGGAAGAGTCAAACAATACATGGACGGATACATGTGACAGTTATATTACTAATTATCTAAAACATAATAATTCTTTCGTTCAATATTAAAAGAATAATATTTAAAACAGACGTCTTTAAAAATAATAATTTTCTGAAGATTTTTTATGGCCGCTTCAAAAAAATATTCTCACAGATTTTGCTTATCGATCTCTGTCGGATCCCACGTCTCTCCAGACTGTAAAATCAAAGCGATTATGGACTCGCCAACGGGCCTCGCTCTTGGCTGGATGGATTCCCCCGGGCGCTTCTTATAGAATATCACGTCACAGTTGAAGGTACGTTGTTGTCGTGACTCGGATCGAAGAGCACTCTCATCAGGATCTCCGTGATTTGTCGGTCCAGGTCGTCATCAGTTTGCACCTTCGACTTCCAGGCGCAATCGTTCCAGCTGAAGTCGCGGCTCTTCAGCACCGGGTCGGTCGCGTTCTCGACCCATAGAAGCTGCCACTTGTTGTACAGATAGTGAGAAGTCGTGATCATTCGGCCACCCGGGAAATCGCTGCGAATTTTCGTATACGAGCAAATTAAAACCAGTTATTATCGACATTTAATTTTCTTTTGTTCAAACTCACATCAATCCAATCGACTCATAATCGATGAGGCCCGCGGAGATGTCGTTCCGATTCTCAGTGACAAGGATGCACGTCTTTTCGTCGAAGCATTGAGTGTAACACATTTTCGCGTTCTGTTTGTCGGGCATTTGAAAAAAGTGCGGAACTTCCTCCTGGACGTGGAACAGGTCGCCGCTGACGATCGACGAGCTCGTCGTCACGAGCAGCAGCAGAGCAACGATTAGCAATAATTTCGACATGACAGAGGAGGACCTCTTTGGCGTATCGATGGCCAGAATTGACTCAATGACAACTGCTCGATGTGGTGTTTGTATATCAAAATTTTATCGTCTACCCTTCTCTCGCGTGGATTTTCCAAGTCAGTTTCCCGCTCAAAATTTATTCAAAAGTTTTATAAACACTATAGGTGAGTGGTACTTTTGTCTGATGTAAAAAATGTATCATAATTCCGCATCATACTAAAAATGGCATATTGTCAATTTTGTCAATTTTCAAATGCCTCTTTGTTAATTTTGATTGTATCGAGAAGATTTTTTTAATATTTTTTTCAGATTCAGGAGCCATTATGATTGATACAATTTCTTTTTATTTAAGTTATTACTATACGTTTACAAAAAAGCATACAATGATCTGAAAGTTGGCAAGTACGAAATCGTTCGCTTGATTACCTGTAAAACATATTTTACAAATTGTGATTTTCAGTGGAGAAAAAATTAATCATCTTACACTACTGCAAGTGTCAAAATTCAATTCAATCGTTGGCCCAGCTGTAAACCCGAGAGGTTTTATTAACTTAGCCATTATGGTTATCAACATCAACCGAGCTTTTACCGGAAAATCGTACCAGTTTATGCAATAGCTGAGATACAAATTACACGAATTAATTTCATTTTACTCATGCTTTCATATTTTGCTTTAAAATTTAATCATTCATGCAAGAGAGAAAGAATTGATCTTTACCAACAAAGGAAAAAGTCATAGGTGGCATTGCTCATCAATTGACTTGGAATACACAATTGTATAATAGCAATCAACACAGAAGTGAACGCAAAAACATTTTTGCAGCTTCCGTTAAGTCCGAATTTGCAAGTGAAATTACCATCTGAATTCATACCGAAACGAATCTGATGCTATTAATTTCACTATCTTTGAATACCTGAGTATTCAAAGTAGAAAATGAGAACACATGTGTTTAATACTATCGAACCAATTGCTAAAGGACTCGTCACGGAATTAAAAATCTTAAAAAACCTAAAATCATAAAATCCGTGAATAAATTATTTCATCAAGTCATGTTTCATGTTCAGTAATCAGTTTATGTTTACTAAAAATAATTTTTGCAAAAGCTAATTCATTTTCCAGATCGAGCTTTGATTGGATTAAATGAGCTTTAGGAGTTCCCATAGGAATTTGGTGATTTTTTTTTACTGGTTGCCAATAACGAAAAGATGTTTTTTTTATAAATGGTATAAATCTTCAAGATAGAGTTTTCTCAAGTGAAAAATAACCTACTTAATGCAATTTTAATGTCGTCGAATTATCGCCAGGAAACCTCAGGAACGTTGTATTCGTTGTCCATTTCGTTCAAGTAATATTTAAATTTCATAATAAGCTATTAGTAATTCATTAAATTATAAAAAATACTATTATATAACTTTTGAAACAATAATTCAAAAGTTTTCACGTACTCTAAACATTGAAACTGTGCAATGACGACGCCCGAACACATGCATAGATAAAAATTCATAACTCCCGAAACTAGAGCGAGTAAAATAGCCATAAGAAACTGTACTGCATGAATGCAATAAAAGTATTTATTTTCATCGAGAAAAAGTTGGGTTTTCAATGGCAAAACTTTTTCATGTATTGGATTATTTTCATCTACTGGAAATAAAACATATGTTGTGCACAATAAAAGGACGGCAACTGAAAAGTAACGAACGAAAATTATAGAACATTTTATAATTTTTTTAGGAAAAAGTTATTTATTACCCGTTCCAATATTACCAAACCAGAAAGCTTTTTTGATTGTTTTATTAAATATTTGTGGCCCCGATGAATCACTGCTTTCAAAAAGCCTGAAAATTATTAGCACATCAACAGTTTTACTTAAAACGGCGAAATCTATATTGCCCATTTTAGTTTTCGACATTTTGGAAAAGATAACGCTATGTGTTTTTTTTAAATGTCTAAATATCAAAATTTTAACCAAATTTAGAAGCAAATATTGTCCATCAATATGGTATAAAATATGGCTCATCAGCTTCAGCTTTAACATGTACTTTTTCAAATCCTCGAAGGCCCTCACAAAAATTTTATGGGCACTATTTTTTTCAGGTTTCTGAATCACTTGTATATTCCCAAAAAGAATGTCACGAGTGTGCTTGAAAAAAAATTTTTTTTTTTAATGGCAAAATATTGAAATTTCATGAGATTTACTCATATAAGTAACAGCAACAACTTTAAAAAAAAAAATACCTTTATGCAATAGTATGACGAAAAATGTCTTTTTTCGCACATTTTTTAGTGCGCAAAAAGCGTTTTTGGACACTTGTGTGCGGTAAAATGCCTCATTTTGGACACGGGTGTGCGGTAAAACGCCTCATTTAAATGAAAGTATTTTTCGTCTCCTATTGCATAAAATTTTGTATGCAACACGTGCCCAGCTTTTTGCGCACAGTGTGCGGAAAAAACACCCACTCGTGCCGGCATAGCCGGCACTCGTGTCTTTTTCCGTACACTCGTGCCCAAAAACGCCTTTTGGGCACTTGTTACATAAATAACTATTTGTTTCATTATTCTCTACACTTCTTATTTTTTACTTTAATAATATTTCATTTTCATACAATAAGATTTTTCAAGTATATACGCAGGAAAAACTATAGATCTAAAAGAAAAAACCAAAAATGTATTAATCATACTTATTTAGTTTTTGAACTCATTGATGACCTTCAAATTTCATAATGAATGGAAATCTATTATATTTCTACTAATACTTAAAAAGCAATAAACGACGCTATTTGCTTCATTTAAAAATTATGTGAATACATTGTATTGATCAAAATTTATAATTTATTAATACATATTGTGCTTTATTGGTGCTATTTATAGAACATATAAATATCAATCTATAGACAAAATGAATAGTTATCTCAGTTAATTGTCTAAAATTTTCACTTACTTTATTGATGAAATACAAGTTGAGAATAATGAAATTTATTTTTTTACTACTGTGCGTTACTTTCGGGCGTGCAAAATGTAAGAGATTGAACTAGACGCAGTTAAATAAAATAGTATATTTTGCACCTAGGGAGTGAAAAACTGGAACTGGCTCTGAGACTTTTTTTTTGCTACATAGCATAGGTACAAATACAATTTTTTTGTGCCACCCCAACCTAAAGTAATATTTTACTCCCACTGCACAAAACCAAAATGTTACTTTAAGCTGGGGGATTCACAAAAAATTGTATTTGCACCTATGTAGCGAAAAATGAAAGTCTCTAGAGCACGTGATTATCAACCTCGGCTTCGCCTCGGATGATAAATTACACGTGCTCTGAGACTTTCCAGTTTTTCACTCCCTAGGTGCAAAATATACTATTTTATTTAACTGCGTCTAGTTCAATCTCTTACATTTTGCACGCCCGAAAGTAACGCACAATAGTAAAAAAATAAGTTTCATTATTCTCAACTTGTATTTCATCAATAAAGTAAGTGAAAATGTTAGACAATTAACTGAGACAACTATTCATTTTGTCTATAGATTGATATTTATATGTTCTATAAATAGCACCAATAAAGCACAATATGTACTTATAAATTATAATAGTATATTTTGTAACAACTGCTTCGCGGACTAGTTGCAAACGATATTATTTAACTCTGTTTGCGAGAAACTAGGGTTTTCGGTTGATTTAAGGTTAGAAAACCCGTGTTTCGCGCACGCAGTGTTAAAAATTTTGTTTTTTTCATCAAAATACATAACCTGAAATTTTTTCAGATTTTTTAATTGAAGGCAATAACTTTTAGAGTTGAAAAATGCTATTTTTAACAAAAAAGGTTCCTAGAGCCCAATGGTTCTGGTAAAAAGTTTGAAAATTTTTTTTAATTCCTTTCGATTCCTGCAGGATCAATCGATCGAAATAGATATTGAAATTTGACGCTGCTTTTCTTTCAGTTGAGCTGCTGAAGCTCCTTAATGATATGGTTACGTGCACCTCGGGCTGGATGCGATACCTCACATATCCGTCGTTCAATAATTTCATCAAGAATCATCGATGTTTAATAAGTGATCGGATATGAATAATACACTTTGTAAGCCTTCGAGAAAAGATAAACAGACGTAAGAAAACTCGATGAACTCGATTTGGATAAACAAAGTCAATAATTATTTTGTTTACAATCACACGTATAATTTCAACTTATCAACCATTGCGAGGTAAATCTTTATTCGAAAATTATTAAAGAAGAGTATTCAAAATAGACAACTGTGAACATTTATTTTCTCGCCACTCGAGAGAATACTCTCAGAGGTCTTCCTTCTCGAACTTTGGCTTCGGCGTCGCCTTAGGGGAATCACGGGTCTTTTTTTGTGAGTTGCCAAAGAAAGATTCCTTCAGGAGAAACGTGATGTCGCAACTTTCAAAGGAGCATCCGATCGGCTCGAGCGAGACCAGCACCTCTTGTTTGCGCGTCAAATCGACGAGCTTGTCGACCAGCGCGGCGCCATCCACGCTATAGTCGGTGCGCACCTTCGACTTCCAGGCGCATTTGTTCCAGCTGAAGACGCGGTTATTGAGCACGGGCTCGTCCTCGTCTTCGATCCAGAGCAGCTTCCACATGTCGTTCGGCAGCTTGGAGGTCGCGATCATTCGGCCGCCCGGGTAATTGCTGAGAATTTTTATGTACACAGTACGAGCAAATTAAAAAACGTTGATCGTCATCGACGTTGACGTTTGATTTCGTGTTTAATTTTTTGATTCAGACTCACACTCTACCAATCTGCGTTTGATCTAGGCTGCCACGGCAGATCCCCCGTCTGTACTCGACAGAGATAAAGCACGTCTCTTCGTCGAAGCATTGAGTGCAGCACATTTTCGCGTTCTGTTTGTCGGGCATTTGAAAAAAGTGCGGAACTTCCTCCTGGTCGGGCGAATCCGTATAATCCGACGAGCTCGTCGCAACGAGCAGTGGCAGAGCAACGATTAGCAATAATTTCAACATGACAGAGGATGATCTCTTTGACGTATCGATGGCCAGAATCGACTGAAAGACAACAGCTCGATGTGGTGTTTGTATACCAAAATTTTATCGTCTACCCTTCTCTCGCGTGGATTTTCCAAGTCAGTTTCCCGCACAAAATTTAATCAAAATTTACATTCATGTTTTACAAAAACAAAATTTTCCACAAAAAACTGCTATACAAAATATCGTTGACATAAAAAGTATCAAAAGATCTCGATGGAAAAAATTAATTAAATGATAATTTGAAAACAATTTATACATGTAATATTTTAGCATAACTCATGGTAGCGCATGCGCTCGATAACTAGCAGCATTCATCATTCATTGAGGTTTAACAAATAATGAATGCATTTTGTCTTCTTCAATACTGATTGACAGATTCAAAACTTTTAAACATCAACTTATTTGACGATTCTGACTCCAAATTAGAAAAGTTCACTGAAGTTTACCTCACAAACGTTTAATTTTGTAATATTAAGATATTTTTTCTTAAAATTTTTTAGTATACTTAAATAAAGTAGACTGGCCGTTTGCGGTTGATCGGGTGAATTATTAAAAATATATCCGTGCCATATACAATGTTTCAAAATTTAATTCAATCGTCGGCCCAGCTGCCAATGCAAAGGGTTTCATTGACTTTGCCTTTTATTATTAGTAATGAATATTAATAATGAATGAATTATTAATAATGAATATTAAAATCTTCCGAGCTTTTACTGGATAATTATACCAATTTATGAAATAGCTATGTGGAAATTATATAAGGTACTTATTAGGAAAGTGCATACATTTTTTACTTGTATAGAAGTTCATTTTTACCTTCGTAGAAAAAAGGCATGGTTGGCATTAATCATCAATTGACTTGGAATACACATTTCAGTAACAATAGCCAAAACAGCGTTAAGTGCAAAAAATATTTTTGCCGCTTCGGTCAACTCCGATTAAGCCAATTTAATTACCATCCTAAATAACCTCGACAAAATCATAAGATAAAGGACTGGAAATGTAACGTAGCCTGCACCCATTATAAGGAAGCCAACTGTAAAGTAACGAATGAATTTTAGTGACCTTATAATTATAATTATAATCATTATTATTATTGTTGTTTAAAAAAAAATTGCATTCAAAAAAATCTTATGGGTAAATTAAGCAAAAGTGAACATCTAGTTTACCCGTTTGAATAGAACCTAACCAGAGAGCCATTTTAATTATTTGTTTTGCGGCTGAATCCGCGTTTTCTAACAGTCTGAAAATTATTGACAAACCCTTAAACATCTGAAATAACATTTGACAAATAATAATCTTTTTTAAACAAGTTAATTGAAAAAAAACTACGTACTTTCCTCTTGTTAATGATTACAAAATTGTAAACTTACGATAACGATAAAAACAATAAAATGTGTAAAGGACATTAAATTATACTGTTACTGTCAATGTTATCCTTCTTAAATTCCTCGAATACTTTTATGACCTAAATATACAAACTAATATTTAAAAAGTTTGTACACCCAAAAATACTTCAATAGTCTTATATTTCAGGAATTTAATATTCTTCGTACATTTGACGATTTTATTAAATTATTTAGACTTATAGTCTTTCGTTAAAAATACATACCGAAGAAATCACCAAAGCTGATAATGATAAATTGATGAAAATTCTTCCAATAGATTTCTTGATGGATAGATACTTGAATTTTGGGCTGGGTATAAAAACGTGTATTTTGTAAAGAATACAAACAAAGGAAATCGAGAAACTTCTAAGATTTCCTCACGCATTTCCGGGCTTCTTCCTCTAGGGTATTGATATTTGAATGGACCATGATTTTAATGAAAAATAATTTTTTGAATTGCGCAGATCAATTTTTTTAATAAACACGCATATGATGAAAATGAATAAATAACAAATAAAAAATCATTTTTATGTACGAGTATTAGGGTGTAAACAATAACGTACGTGAAACGACCAATGAATAATATACTCATGTTAACAAAACCCTAGTGAAAGTTTAATCATCAAATTCACATGAATTTTATATGAACAGTGTCACAAAGCTTGTCGTTCGATCTAACCGCCGTAACGGATGCCAATGCGACCGAACAGCACGTGAATTACAAGTGCGCCTAACTTTAGCGTAACTGTCTGTCTGAACTGATGTTATAGTTACTGACTCTGACATTGTACTATTTTCATTTTTTTCTTTATGTTATAATATTATATTATTAATATTTAATATCTTTCGCATAAGTGTAGACTTCAGCAAAGTATTGTAGATTACGTGCGCAGGGAGCAAAAAACTTGAAAGCTGCAGAGAAATAAGTAGGAATTTCGGAAAAATGCCAACCTCAAATCTCTGCTAGAGGCCGATGGTAGTTCCAATTTCAATAAAATTTGTAGACTTTGATGTCATCACATACAACAAATTTTTCATGTTCCCATCTTTTTAGATTTTTTTCACAAAATACTTTAAGTTTTAGAATCAAAAAATCATTTTAAATCCTTATAAATCCTGTACAACAAGAATATTAATATATTTAACAAACCGTCAGATTTTTCAAAATCGATTTTTGGAGCTTACGAACGATATTGCTTGCATTCTAATAGTATTAGTACAGTTTCTTTTTATTCAAGTTTTTTATTACATACGTTTACAAAGAAGTATACAACAATCTGAAAGTTGCCATATACGTAATCGTTCCTTTTATTATCTATAAAATAGATTTAACTGATTGTGATTTTCAGTGGAGAAAAAATTAATCAACTTACACTGCTGCAAGTGTTAAAATTCAATTCAATCGTTGGCCCAGCTGCTAATACAAGAGGTTTTATTGACTTAGCCATTATCATTATTAACATCAGCCGAGCTTTTACAGGATAATCGTACCAGTTTATGCATAGCTGAAATACAAATTTCACGAATAAATTTCATCTAATTGCTTTAAAATTTTACTTTTAATCGCTCATCCAAGATAGAAAGGATTGATGTTTACCAACGAAGGAAAAAGTCATAGCTGGCATTGCTCATCAATTGACTTGGAATACACAGTTGTATAATAACAATCAAAACAGAAGTGAATGCTACAAGCATTTTGGCAGCTTCGGTCAACTCCGAATTTGCCAATGAAATTACCATCTGTATTAATATCAAAGTAAGTTTTTTGAGATTACCTTCACTTTTATCTTTGAATACTTACCCATGTTCCAGTCAAAATGAGAACGCTTGTGTCTATTACTTGTGTGTATTATTATTATTATTAGTGTCAAACGACTTGCCATGGAATGAAATATCTGAAAAAGTCTAAAATCATTAAATCCGTTAATAAATTATTTCATCAAGTTTGATGTTCAGTAATCATAAGCTAATTTAATGTCCAGATCGAATTTTGATGCAATATATAGTGAGCTTTAAAATAAAATTTACTCAAGTGAAAAATAACTTACTTGATGCAATCTCCATGAGTTTTTCGCCAATCAAGTTGGTTTTAGTTTCATGAAGCTCAGGGATTTTGAAACTCTGCAATGATGATGCCTAAGCACATACATTGATAATTATTCATAACTCCCTAAACAAGAACAACTAAAATAGCTATAAAAAACTGTACTACACAAATGGAATAAAAGTATTTATTTTCATCAAGAAAAAGTTAGGTTTTTAATGGTAAAATAGTTTCATATGTATGATTATCTGAAGATAACCACGACAAAATGATTGGGTTAGCTACTGGAAATAAAATATATAGTGTACACAATAACAGGATGCCAACTGGAAAGTAACGATTGAAGTTAATGAAAAATTTTATTATTTTTTTCTAAGACACTTATTTATCACCCGCTTCAATATTACCAAACCGGAAAGCTTTTGTGATTATTTCATTAAATATTTGTTGCCCCGATGAATCGCTGCTTTCAAACAATCTTAAACTTATTGACATGCACTTAGTCATCTGAAATGAAGGTTATTGAATAATTCTTTTTATTAAATCGGTGCACCAAATAATATCTTAAAGAAAAAACTCATTCACCTTACTCTGGTCAGCCACTGCAAGAGTGTAAACGTACAATATTAATGTAAGTAATAAAATTTGCAAAGCACATTCAATTATACTGTTATTGTTGATATTTTCCTTTTTACATTCCTCAAATACTTTCATGACCTGAATATAGAGTCTAATATTGAATAGAAATTCAAAGATTTATGATAAATCAACAGTATTATTTGTGAAATATAATATTTTTATTACATTGCACGATTTCATCTATTAAATTCATCTGGTATTTTTCACTATTAAAAATACATACCGAAGAAATTGTCAGAGTTAATAAGTATAAATTAATAAAAAGTCTTCCTATGGATTTCGTAAGTGAATTTTGGGCTGGCCACAAAAACGTACATTTGGCAATGAATACGAACAAAGAAAATCGAGAAGCTCAAGACTACCATGCATTTTTGAGCTTCTTCCTCTACGTTAGCGATATCTGAACGACCCATGTTGTTGATGTTGATAATATTGTTGATGCTTGTCCGACCACTTTTTTAAATACAAATACACGTACAATAGAAATTGAATGAAAACAAATAAAAAATAATTTTTTTATATTCATACTTGTGTAAAAACTTTCATGCGCAAAACGACCAATGAATATAATTCATTCATATTAACAAAGCACTAGTAAAAGTTTAATCATCAAATCCATATGAAGTTCACGTAGATAATGGCACGGAGTGACTTGAAGGTTCTGTTTACCAACCTAAATTCAGCGAGCAAAAACTTTCTTGCCACTTCGTTGGAATAAGCTACCTTTTTGCTTATACGCTCGAGTTAGATACCTTCTTGCTTCTGCGTGCGAGTAAGTATCCTTCTTGCTACAGATTTGAAATAGATACCTTCCTGTGCTGGGGCGACGATATCCTCTTTTGCAATTGCAATGGTCATTTTAACTTTCTAACTGGCGACCATTATATTTACATATTCTTCTATGATAATCTAATATAGCAGTCAAAATATGCCAAAAAATGTAAATTTTATTGAGCC